TAATAATAATTATAATAATAGAAATCATTAATCATTTTCAAATTAACAATAGAGTAATACAATATAATATATTAATATCAAATAATAATAAAATCAATTATAAATTAAATCAAATATCATTTATCTAATATTTATTATTTATATAAATTTCATTGCATATAACAAATCAAAAAAATAATATAGCACCACCCAATCTTTTTTATAAATAAAGATATACAGTAATAATATTAATAATTTAATTACACTTTTTTTTCTTTAATAGATCTTAATTTTTTAGCTTATTTTTTAATTTATTTTTTAAAAAAATAAAAAAGTAATATTTGTTTGTATTATAAAATTAATAAAATAATAATAATAATAATTTGTCATCAATATTTTATAGTTTTTTTTTTTTATAATATTCGATTGTGTAATTTTTTCATTGTTTTCGGTTATACACATAAATTTACTTTTTTTTCAGTATATAATTCAAATAAAAATTTGTTATAAAATATAATATTAATAATAATAATAATAATAAATAAAAAAATAAAAATTTATATTATTATATATATATTAAAATAATAATTTTTCTAAAATATCTATTATTATTTAAAATCTATTACAAAAATAATTAATTTCCACACAATAACATTAAAACCACACATAATATATTTTTTATAATATTAATAGAGTTTGTGCGATGACACACTAATATACTATTTAAAATATAAATTTTATATTATCTATTTTCTTTATTACCACTTTTTTTACCATATATATATTTACGATATATCATTCATTGTTTTTTTCCCATATTAACACACAGGCACATAATTTATATTATATTCCATATCACAAAAAGTAATTTTATATTATGTGGTGTGGGGGTTTTGTTTTTGTTTTTTTTTTTTGTTTTACCCCTATATTAAAATTTCATTCCAATTTAAATATTATCTTTATTACTATCATATATTATTACCACCAAATTTTTTAGTAATTTTAAAAGTTTGTGTTTAATATAAAAAAAATTAATGTGGTGGGGTTAAATTTAAAACACACTATATTTTTCCTTTTTGTTTTTAATCGATTTGTGACATATTATTTTCATTTACCACCCTATAATATTTTTTATTTTATTTAATACACACCATCAAACCATAAATAATATTCAATTTTTCTATTATTTTTACCATTATCTTTGTTTTAAAGTTTTAAAATTTTTTTAAAAAAAAAAAATATTATAAAAACTTTGTTGTTATAAAAAAAAAAACAACAAATAATAATAATAATAGTAATAATAATAATAAATAATAAGAGATAATAATAAAACAATAGAATAAGAGAGAAGAAGACTTTAATTAAATTTTATAACAAAAATTTATTTAATTTATATTTTTTTCAATAATTTAATTTTTTTTTTTTTTTCCATAACATTAAAATTTTTTTATTAATTATTGTTGTTTATATTTGATTTAAATAATATATTAATACAATAATAATAATAATAATAATAATATTACAATTTTTATCATTACAAAAAAAAAACTCATAGCTAAAACTAAAAAAAAAAAAAATCATTATTTTCTTTTTTAATTTTTATTTTTCTTTTTTTTTTTTGAATATTATATAAAGATATTTAAATTTTGTTGATTAATCAATAATAAATAATAATAACAATATTACTATAATAATACTACCTACAATTTTTTATCATTACTTTTGCCACTTATCAAAATATTAATACAAAAATATAAAAATTATAAAATTACTTTTTTTTATATTAAAAACAATACCCTTTTTTTACATTAAAAAAAATATTAAAATTGTTTAGAATACCCCATTAATATATTTTTTACCACCACCACCACAAATACCACCAAATTATATTATTATTTTTATTACAATCAAAATATAATAATATTATTTTATTTTAATTTTAATTTTTTTTTTTCAATAAACAACAAAAACAAAACCACCATTTAATACCAAACAACCACAATAATAAACCAATAATTTTATAAAATTTTTTATATAAAATTGTTTTTTTTATAATTAATCATATAATAGTAATAATAAAATAAAACCTTAAACTAATTATTTTTTTATTTTCTCTCCACCTTAATTTTTTTAAAATTTAAATTTATTCACTTTTTAAAAAAAAAAATAATTTTTTTTTTTTTTAATTAATTCAAAAATAACTTCAACAACAACATCAACCTCAACCACTGCAACCTCTTCATCATCAACAATACAATACTATAATTTTATGGATCCCAGGTTTTTCTTTGCAATGACAGAAGTTTTAAACAAAACTGAAAGTCCAAATATCCAAAACTATTCTTCACCAGGAGGTGTTGATGATAGCTTTGATGATGATAGAAAGCAAAAGATTGTTTATACATCAGATTTTTTAAAGAAATTCGATAAAACCAAATCTAAAGAATTTTCTCAAAATATAATGCAACCACCCATTGGCGTACCAATCGGAGGTGATGTTTTATTCAATAATAATATTGAATTAGATAACAATAGTAATACAACATTAGAATATAGAAACATTATTCAAAGATTAAAATCAATTATTGTAAATTCCAAAGATGAAAGCTTAATGAGTATGATGAGAATGGTACTTTCAGAATCTTCTCTTGGTAAATCATTTTTAATTGGTATGTGTTTACTAAAATAATTGTTTTGTTTAAAAGATTTAAATTAATACTAATATTTTTTTTATAGATGATTATAATCAAAAAAGAATACCAGATATTGGAGGACCAATTCAAAACTTTGTATTTTTAGGAGATGTTGAGCCATCACAAATGTCATCAACACCTTTAAATTCATTCTTTTCAACTCATGCTGCAAATTCATCAATCTCTGGTTCACTTCCACCATTAAGATCACCAAGAAAAGCAGAGTCTGTACCTTCAGTACCAGTTTTGCCATTATCATCACAATCACCATCAACCAATACTTCAAATAATCAATCACCAGCAACAACAAACCCACAACAACCAATTGGACCATCCCTTACATCCTCATCAAACTCAACACCAACAACTACCACCACACAATCACAACAACCTTATAAATCACCAAGAAAATTAAATACATCTGGTTCATCAAGCAATATAAGTTCAATTTTCCCACCAGGTTTTTCAAATATTGAATCGACCACACCACCATCAACAACCACCACACCATTAAATAGTGTATCACCTTCAACCACTTCAACCACTAGCTTCCAAACATCATCATTATCAACTGGTAATAAAATGAAAAAATCTCCATCAATGCCAGTTATTGCTGGTAAATTAAATATTAGTTCTGAACATTTGAAAACAATTCCACCAATCAAATCTACCTCAAGTAATATTAATTCAAATAATATCAATTTTAGTACTATTAAAACAAACAATACTGGTAGCTTAAGTTCATCAGCCAATTCAATTTCAACTACAATTCCAAATATTAATTCTGGTAGTAAATCCTTAAGCACAAGCAAAGATGATTCAGCTTCACCAAATAAAAAAATTGTCAACACTGACCACCAACCAAGAAAGCCAATGACCAAATCTGTCTCTATGAGTGCAATTGGTTTAAACAACCAAGATCCAAAAGTTACAAGTTTAGAAGAAATTACTGGCCAAATTTATCATCTTACCAAGTATCAAGCTGGTTGTAGATTCCTCCAAAAGAAATTAGAAGAGAAACCAGACTCTGAACATGTCACTTTAATCTTTAATGAAGTATTTGATCACTTGAACGAATTAATGATCGATCCATATGGTCAATATTTGATTCCACAATTAATGAAGTATTGTGATAATAACCAAAGAAGACAAATCGTTGATAAAATTGCACCAAATGTAGAAACTTTTGCCTGTCATGTATATGGTATTCATGGTATTCAAAAACTTTTACAATATCTCTCACCAGATCAAGTGGATTCAATTATTTCCTCCATTAAAAATAAAGTAATCCAACTCTCAAAAGATAGCAAGGGTAACTATTTGGTCCAATCTTTCTTAAAACAATTCTCACCAGAGGTAAATCAATTTGTTTGTGATGCCATCATGAATAACATTCAAGAAATCTGTACTCATAAAGTTGGTTGTACTGTCGTAAATCGTTGTATCGATAATGCCAATCCACAACAACTTGAACAACTTGTAGATAGAATCACTCAACACTCATTAAAATTAGTACAAGATCAATTTGGTAATTATGTAGTTCAACATCTTCTTTCAAAGAACAAATCTTATTCAAGTAAACTTATCAAGAGTCTCTTGGGTAATATCGCAGAACTCTCTGTTCAAAAGTTCAGTTCAAATGTTATTGAAAAATGTCTTCAAGTTGCTGACACTGAAACTTATGAATCAATTATTAAAGAGATCACTGAGGCTGATATCTTAAATCTTTTACAAGATAAATATGCCAACTTTGTTATTCAAACTGCCTTAGATGTCGCTGATGAAGCCCAACATGCAAAATTAGTAAAATTAATAGTACCTTATATTCATCAAATTAAAACTCCTTATGTAATACATATTCAAAAGAAAATTCTTCAAGTTTAAAATAATAATAATAAATAATAACAATAATATAATAATAAATAATAAAATTTTTTTTTTAAATTAATAAATAATTAAAATAATAATAACACAATCAAAAAATCCCCTTTGTTTTTAAATCCCCAAAAAAAAAAAAAAAAAAAAAAACAAGTAATTTTTAAAAAAAAAATTTTATTTTTTTTAAATAGTTAATAAAAAATAATAAATAAAACTAATCTTTTTTTATTTAATAGTAAATAAAAACATATAAAAATATTTTACAATACAATTTAAAACTTTTTATTTTTTTTCCTAAATTTTTTTACAATTTTAATAAATTTTTATGGTTAAAAACAAAACTAATTTTTATTTAATATAAATGTTATTCTAATTATGAGATAAAAAAAAAGAAACTTGTAAGTTTTTTTTTTTTTTTTTAGTGTTGTTCTTTTAAGAATTTTCTTCTTTCCTCAATTCCCTTTTTATGGTTTCTTTCATCCTGGAGACCACGGTTTAGCATTTCTTTACAGTCTTCCCATTTGTCATCTCTGTTGACAATTGACTCGTAGGCTTTGCAGGTTTCTTCTTCGTTGCTGGACATTGCGGATAAGACTCCATCATCACCAATAATATTGGATATGACAACTTTACCTTTAGTAAGCCATTGTTTCTTTGTTGGGCCTGTTGGGCAATCTAAATTGTGCTTTCTAAAGACATCAGTGATCTCTTGGATATGTCTTTCGTGGTCATGCATATATTCAGTGATTAAATCTTTGGACTCTGGATCTCTAATTCTATCAATTGAAGTTTTGTATGCCTCAACAGCATCATAATCCAACTCTAATAAATCTCTAAGAGCTGATGAGAATTCTTTTTGGGAGCTAACCATTGATGACATCATTTTTAATATTGACTAAAAAAAATAAATAAAAAATTAATATTTGTATTTTTAAACAATAGTATAATCTCTTTTAATTACTTTTTTTTTTCTTATTTGTAAGGGTTTTAAAATTAAATTGATTTCGATGATTTTTATACTCATAAAAAATTATAAAAAATTTAAATTAATTTAAAATATTTTAATTATAATAAAAATATTTCGAATAAAGTAAATTAAATTGATGAATTTATTATTTCCTAAATAAAAAATCATCTATTATCCATTTATATACATTTAAAAAACATTTCTTTTTATATGAAAATGAAATTTTTTGTTATAATAAATTTTACCAATGAATAACTATAGTTTTATTTAATTATATTACAAAAACATTTAATTTTCATTATTGAAATTTCTAATTTAATTTAAAAATGTAAAAAAAATAAATTTAAAATATAAAAAAATAAAAAAATTATTTTTTAAAAAAAATTTTTAAAAAACGATTTTTTCGTTTTTGTTTTTTATTTTTTTTTATTTTTTTTTATAAACACCCTTTATTATTTTTTTATTGTTTAATATACAATATATATATATAGTGTAATACAATGTCAAGTTCAGATGAAGAACCAACTGGTTTTGGTCAAAAAATGTTATTGCGTATGGGGTGGTCTGTGGGAAAAGGTTTGGGTTTAAACGAAGATGGTACAACAAATATTATAGTAAACAGAAAGAAGCAAGATAATGTTGGTGTTGGTGCAACTCTTGAAGATAGAATAAACTCATCAAATAATTGGGAAGTAAATAATGAAGCCTTTGATAATATTTTAGCTAAATTAAATGGTAATAACGAAATAAAAGTCGACTCAAAAAAAAGAAAAAAATTCGTTAAATCAAAATTAAATAAAAAGAAAGATGAATCAAGCGATAGCGATAGCGATAATAGTGAAAGTGAAAAAGAAAAAGAAAAAAAAAATAAAAAGCAAAAAACAAGTGATTCAGATACTGATAATAGTAGTGACTCAAGCAGTGAAAGTGAAAGTGAGAGTGAGAGTGAAAGTGAAAATATAAGTAAATCAATTAAAAAATCTAAAGAAACCAAAAAGAAATCAAAAACAAGTGATAGTGATACAAATAGTAGTAGTAGTTCATCAGATAGTAGCAGTGAAAGTGAAAGTGAAAGTGATAGTAGTTCATCAGATAGTAGTAGTAGTTCATCAGATAGCAGCAGCAGTTCATCAGATAGTAGCAGTAGCAGCAGTAAAAGTGAAAGTGAAAGCGAAAGCGAAAAAAAAAAAGATAGTTCATCAGAATCCGAAAAAGAAGAACCAAAGAAAAGATCGTGGGTTGGAAAAACAAGATACCAAAAATTATTAAAAGCAAAATCAGTTAAAAACTATAGTGAAGAAGATTTAAGAGCTATTTTAGGTTTCCGACCAAATCAAGATAAAAGAGGTTTACCACAAAAAGTATGTAATTAAAAATTTATAATAATTGATTTTCGAAAAAATTATAAGATACTAATTTAGTTTTCATTATCATAAATTTATTTTTTAAAAATCAGAATAACTAATAAATTATATAAAACAAAATAAAATTGTATATTTTCCTTTTTTAAAGCATATAAGACATTTTTTAATATCTTTTTTTTTTTATTTTATTTTTTTTTTTAGCTGTTAAAATATAATTTTTTTAATTTATTTTTTTTAATTTAAAAATTTTTGTTGGGTTTTTTTAAATTATTTCAAAAAAAAAAAATAGTTTTTTATATTTTATTTTTATTTAAATAATAAATTAATAGTATTAAAATATTTCAATATTTATTATTATTTTAATTTATAATCTACATTCACACACCTTCATTAAATATTAAATATTTTCCTTATATTTAATATTTACACAAATTTTTTTTTTCCCGGTATTTTTTTTCGTTTTGTTATACGATTAATCACCATAAATACTAGTAATATTTTAATTACTAAAAGAAAAATTTTAATTAATTATATTTTTATCAATAACCAACCAACAATCCATTCATTCATTTACACTCCCAACCAATAAAGCAAAATTTAAAATAAAAAATGATGTTTTCAGGAATCAACACACAATTTGGAAATACAAATAGATTATTAGAAAAAGAAAACTCTGGTCAATTAAGCACTCTATCACTAAAGAATACCACCAATGGTGGCTCATCAGCACCACTACAACCATCAGCACTTAAACAAAAATTATATGGTAACTCTGCTCCATTGGGAACTGAAAGAAAAGCATTAGGTGAAATTACTAATACTGCAAAACCAAATTCGCTTGCAAATAAAAAGCTATTAACAACCTCAAGCACTGGTGAAACCAAGTTATTATTTGTACCAACATCACTTAATCCCCAAATTAGAGTAAGTATTAAATAAGACCCAAGAGTTTATCTTTTAACAAAAATATCAAATATTAATTTTTATTAAATTAGAAAAAAGCTAAAAGTACAATAAAGCCAATTATTAATCAATCAATTATTTCAAAAGCTAAAAAAGCTCCAGTACCATTATCACCACAACAACCACTTCACGATAATAATACAGTATATTCAGCACCACCAGCCCCACTAAGATTATCATCAAAACTTACAAATGAATCAATAGAAAGTTTGATTATGACACCATCTTATGATATCCCAATCACTGGCTACACTGAGTCATATGAAGAAAATATCTATAAATTTGACCAATCTGAATATCAGGCAACTGATGATCATTCATTAATGATCGAGGATAATTTTTCATTTAGCGATTACTATCAAGATATTGTACTTTAAAACAACTATATAATAGTTTTTAACACTGACATATTAATAATAATAATAACAATAACAACAATAACAACAACAACAACAATAATAACCTATTCTTTTGTATAGTTTTTTCATCAATAACATTTAATTCATATTTGTAACAATTTATAAAATTATATAAACTATAAAAATAGACCAGTTATAGTTTAGTATTCTATTTTATAAACCACATAACTAATAATCAATATTAAGTTTCAACTGACTCTAATTCCCAAAATAAAATTTATTTATTGGATAACTGCTTTATTCAAAACCAAATAATTTAATTCCTTTTTCTTTTCTTTTTTTAACAAAAAATTATTTACAAAATTTATTTTATTTATTTTTTAAAATGATTTTCTTATTTTCTAATTTTTTTAATCTTTTTATTTTTCTTTTTTTTTTTTTTTTATTTTTATTTTTTTTTCTTCTTAAACCTAATTATTTAAATCATAATCATCCAAAATACCATTGTATTCTTGAACTTTCTTCTTCATTGAACCATTTACCCATGTTAAAAGATCTTCTGATTTTCTAGTGATAATTAAAGCTGGATCTTGAATGACTTCTGGTCCAATTCTGATATCTAAATTTTTATAATTTTAATGGAACGTTAGAGTAAATCCAATATTAAATACTTTTTATAAATATTTATTAATAAATCTATATTTAAGTTTAAACTTACGACCATGTGATAATAAACCAAATGATTGGGTTAAATGTTCTGCAAACTTCTTTTTAACTAACATTACAACAGCTCTTCTTCTGCAGAATGAAGCTGCATTAACTTTAACTAATTCTGATGGTTGTTTTAAATCAATAACACCCATGTTATATCTAAATAAATAAAAAGTTGGTGTTAATATTTTTTTCGGGTTTCTTTTTAAAAGCGCATATATTTTAATAATTACAATTTATCGGCTAAGTCATTTAATAATTTTTGTTTAACTGGATCTTTATCATCGAGATCACTAATTTCATTTAAAACTTTTTTATATTGTAAAACTAATTTTGTATATCTAGATATAATAATAAATTAAAATATTATTAATATAATAATAAATGTTATATAAATTACTTTTATTTCTCTACTTACTGACTATATTCTTCTTTACCCTTTAAACCAAATTTACCAATATTTACAACATCCTTTTGGTTTTCTCTTCTATAATGTTGAAAGTTGGTTTTCTTTAAAAGTTTTTGTTCGTGATATTTTAATGGTCTCATTATTATTGTTTGATTTTATGATTTTGTGTGGTTTTTAAAAATTTATTATTTACAAAAAAAAAATAGGATACAGAATGGATAGAATTTAAAAAAACAAGGAAAAATTAAAGAAGAATGACCAAAAAATAATGAAATAATTGTTACTATTAATAACAAAGATGAATGAAAAAAAACGAATCGCTTTTAAAAAAAAATTAAAAAATAAAAAATTATTTAAAAAAAAAAAATAATTAAAAAAAAATAAATTATTTTTTTAATTTTTTTTTTTTTTTGTATGAATTTAAATTTTTAATTTTTTTTATTTTTTATTTTCCTTAATTAACACAATTTTAAAAACATATCATATTAAAATGACTACTGAAGGTAAAGTTATTACATGTAAAGCCGCCGTTGCTTGGGAAGCCAATAAGCCATTAAGCATTGAAGAAATTGAAGTTGAACCACCAAAGAAGGGTGAAGTAAGTAATTATAAATCAAATCATTCCAAATCACCAATAAAAAAATATAAAAAGAATAAACAATTTTTTCAAATTCAATTAAAAAAAAGATAACCAATTAAAATAGAAACAACAACAATATCAAAATGTCAAATCTAAATTAAAATTAATTAAAATTTAAAAAAAATAATTTTTTTTTTACAAATTAGGTTAGAGTTAAAATTTTATATACTGGTGTTTGTCATACTGATTCATATACATTATCAGGTCAAGATCCAGAAGGTATTTTCCCATGTATTTTGGGTCACGAAGGTGGTGGTGTTGTTGAATCAATTGGTGAAGGTGTTGAAACTGTCAAAGTTGGTGATCATGTTATTCCATTATATATTCCAGAATGTAAAGAATGTAAATTCTGTAAATCTAATAAAACCAATCTTTGTTCATTAATTCGTATCACTCAAGGTAGAGGTCAAATGCCAGATGGCACCACTAGATTCAAATGTAAAGGTAAGGAAATTTTCCATTTCATGGGTACCAGTACTTTTTCAGAATACACTGTTTTACCAGAAATCTCTGTTTGTGTTGTTAGAAAAGATGCTCCACTCGATAAAGTTTGTTTATTAGGTTGTGGTATTACCACTGGTTTTGGTGCTGCTAAATTCACTGCCAAAGTTGATGAAGGTTCAACTGTTGCTATTTTTGGTCTTGGTGCTGTTGGTTTAAGTGTTGCTCAAGGTGCTGTTGATTGTGGCGCTAAAAGAATTATTGGTATTGATACCAACGAATCTAAATTTGAAAGTGGTAAGTTATTTGGTTGCACCGAATTTATCAATCCACTCAAAGATGTCCCAGCTGGTAAAAATATTCAACAACACATTGTCGATATCACTGATGGTGGTGTCGATTATTCATTTGAATGTATTGGTAATGTCAATGTTATGAGATCCGCCCTTGAATGTTGCCATAAGGGCTGGGGTGTTTCAACCATTGTCGGTGTTGCACCAGCCGGCACCGAAATTTCAACTCGTCCATTCCAATTAGTTACTGGTAGAGTTTGGAAAGGTTCCGCTTTTGGTGGTGTCAAATCACGTTCACAACTTCCATTAATTGTAGACAAATATATGGACAAGAAATTAAAAGTTGATGAATATGTCACTTTTACTTATCCATTAAGTGAAATTAATGAAGCTTTTCATGTTATGCACGAAGGAAAAAGGTATGTTACATATATTAAGTTATTTATTTTTATTTTTTAATCAAATTTAATAATAAAAAAAGGAAACAAATACTAATTTTTAATGTTTTTTTATCTCCCTTTAGTCTCCGTTCAGTTGTCCATTTTGAAAAGTAAACTTATAATAAAAATTTAAAATATTTTAAATTGTGTAATTTTTTTTGTGATTTTTTTTTTTTTTTTTACAAAATTTTAATTTTCACCCTAACAAGCCCCAATATATCTTTCAAATCCAGTTTTGTTTTTTTTCTTAAAAATATTAAATTTTGGAAAAAATTTAAAATTATCTTGAAAAAATATAAAATTTTATCTTTAAATCTTGGGAATCATCAACGGAAATTTTTTTTTTTTAACCAGTATTTTGATATACCCAAAAAAAAAAAAAACAACAACCTCTAATGCCCAAAAAGTTTTTTATTTTTATAATTTTTTATTTTATTTTTTTATTTTATAATTTTTATTTTTATTTTTATTTTTATTTTTCATTTTTTTTTTAAATTTTATTTTTTATTTTTTAATTTTTTTATTTTTGTATAAAATATAATTATTAATGACAATATAATAATAACTTTTGGTGTTTGTTCTTACTTATTGTTATATATTTATATTCTAACGACCATATAAAATTTAGTGTATAAATTTTATATAAACATTATTCCTTTTATAATAACCATTTTTTTTTGTGTGGTTTGCATTTCTTAAGGAATAATTATATATTTTTTTTTTTTTTATTTATTTATTTTTAATTTATTTTTATTTTGTTTATCTTTAATTTTTTAAAAAATAAAAATAATCATAATAAAAATAATAAAATTACAATTATAAAATAATAGTAATAAAATTATAATTTTTTAGTAAATAATAATAAAGTCTAAATTTCTCATAATATTAACATTCACATATAATAATAATATAAATAATAGCAATAGTAGCAATAGAATTTTAAAATATATTTAGAGTTTTATAAATGGTAGATACTTTTTTTTTTTTTTTTTTTTTTTACTATCATCGAATGTACATATTTGGTTATTAATACGATCAAATCTTATTAAAATTTAGGATCCAACTTCAGCAAATAGTAGTGGTGTTGCAAAACCAGATTGGAAACCAGATCAAAGCGCATTACAATGTAACGGATGTCAAGCACAGTTCACATTAATAAGAAGAAGAGTAAGTTTTATAGATTATTACTATTAGTATTTAAAGTAAATATTAAACATTTTATTATTATTATTATTATTTTAGCATCATTGTCGTATGTGTGGTTCAATTTTTTGTGATTCATGCTCCTCATTTTATTCAATTTTACCAGCAGAATATGGATATTCAGGTCCTCAAAGGTTATGTAGAGTATGTAATAATGCTTTTGAACAAAAAAAACAATTTTATGGTATGTATAACAATAATATATAAAAGCAATAATATAAATAAATATATTAATAGTTTTAATAATTTTATAACCATTTTAGAAACTGATGCATTAGTAGCACAATTCCAATTAAGATCATCAGCACTCTTTGAATATTCAAAACCATTGCAAGATATAGGACATGTTAAACATGGGCTTAGAAAATCATATTGTTTAGCCAAAAACAAAACTGGAGATGAATGCATAGTTTCAATTATTACACCAACAGCGAATACATGTCCATGGCCAATGACAAACGAAAAGAAAAAACAAAAATTCGAAAAGACATTAATGGCATTAAAACATTCATATATTATGACACCAATAAAAGTCGAAGTATCAGGCGCAAATGATAAACTATTAGTTATTCGTAATTTTTGTAAGAATGGTAGTCTTCGTGATTTAATTTATAAAGCCAAGCCATTATCACCCTATGACACTAAATATGTTTTCAACAGTAAAAAACAAAATCAAAGTAATATTTCACCCAAAAACATACAAAAATTTTCAAAACAAATATTAGAGGCCCTTTTATATTTAAAGAGCAAAGGTATACAACATCAACATCTTCATGCAGCAAATGTTTTATTTGTCAACGATAATTTAGTTCAATTAGTAGATATAGAAAATAATCTTTTAGGTCTTCGTCCTTTATATTATGAATCATTACAACATCAATATGGAGGTAGTTTCAAAGAAAATCCCGAAGTTGTATGTTTTGGTCATTTACTCTTTGAAATGATTGTGGGTCTACCATTAAACGAGCATTCAAATATAAATAGTTTTATTCCATTATTCCCAGACAAAGTATTTTTATTCCTTCAACAAATTTTCTCTGAAAAATGTCCAACTCTTGAAGAGTTGGTAAGAAATAGTTATTTTGAAGTAGCTACAACTATGGAACAACAAGGTTTAGCTGGTGGTAAATTAAAGAAATCTCAAGCCGCTTTTATCAAAGATACTGCTGGTAAATATGAATCACCAAAAGCTTCTTTATCATCATCATTTTCAGCCAATAATATAAATAAATTATCTCTATCAGGTGGTGGTAGCTCAAGTGGTTTTGTCAGTACCGAAGATCGTAGAAAATCAATGAAACTACCATCAAATACAAATTTAGTAGGTTTTAATCCAAACTCATCCAATACAATTCATTCATCACCCACATCATCATCTGCAATGTCAAATGTAAGTGCAATTTCATCACCACCAAAGCCATCACCTTCTATGACAAGTGCTGCTCCACCACCCCCACCACCTCCATCAAACTCTGCTCCACCACCACCACCACCACCAACAAAAGCCTCAATATTAAAAGATTTACCTCCAAAACAAGATAATAGAAATAGTTTATTAGAAAGTATTAGAAATCCTGATAATTTTAAAAAATTAAAAAAAGCTCAACCAAGCAGTAACAAGAAACCAGTTTTAAAAAAAAAATAAACTAAAATAAAATATTATATATACAATTATTTTATTTATAATGATTATAAACTAATTTTGTTTGTAAATCTCAATCTGTAAAATTATAGTTTTTTTTTTTAAGATATTATTTAATTAATATTAATTTATAAACGCTCATTATTAATTACTTTGTTTTTTTTACACCCAAAATAGATATTTTAAATTGATTATTTTTTAATTTAGAAATATCCCAATTAATTAAATAATTTTATTATAAAATTTCCAATAATTAAACATATTTGCAAATTTATATAAAATTTTTTTTTTATAATTTATTTTTTTAAAACAATTATATTTTTTTATTTTTCTTTTTTTTTTTTTTTTATTTATTTTTAATTTTAAAAAAATTTTTAAAAATTTTTTTTTTATTTCATTAAAATTATAATAATAATTTATATTTATAAATATTAAAACCAAATTAAAGAATGAGCATGCCTATTGCATTTTCAAGATCTAGAGCGACCTCATCATCAGCTTCAGTAGACCCAGCAGTTATCAAAAAAAAAGAGTTAACAGAATTAGGCGAAAAAATAATAAATGATATAGGGAAAGCCACAAAATCAATGATAAAACATTCAAATGTTCACGATGTAAGTTATATAATATGTTATGTATTACGGTTTTATATACGTTTTTTTGTATTAATTTGGTAATTTATTTGATATATTAGAATATGATGATAATTTCAAAATCTTTTGCAGCTCATGAGGGTAATATTGCACAAACTGAAGAATTAATAAAGCAAATGTCTGCATTATCAAAAGAATTATCGAATCAAGTTGGCTTATTACAATCATCACTTGATTCAATGGAGCCTTTAAATAATAATATCGTCAATACATCACAATCAATTCATAGAATAGCACCATGTTCAAAACCCCATTTTTAAATCAATTAAAATATTATAATTAAAAAATCAATTTTGTAAATAAATGTATATATAGTATTAAAATAAATTCAATTTCCAAATTGAATTAAATTCAATTCAATTTTGTCCCAATTCAATTCAAATTATCCCAGCTTGAATCGAATTGTAACTTTATTAACCGTAAAGTAAGATTTTAATTAATTTTTATCCATTGTTCATTTATTTATTTGGTTGTTGTTTGTCTTTTAAAAAACGATTATTTTAAGCATTTTTTTTTTCTTTTTTATTTATTTTATTTATTTTTTTAAAATTTTTTTTTTTTTTTTTTATTATTTTTTATAATAAAAAAAAAAAACGAAAAAAAAAAAATTCATTTTTCTTTTTGCAACTTATATACCTTATTTTAATTTAATTTATTTTTTTATTTATTTATTTAAAAAAACATTTTAAATTATTTTATTTTTTTTTTTTCTTTTGTTTTTTTATACAATAGTAATAATAATAACAATATATAAAAGAAATAAAAATTCTCATTTTTTTTCGAAAAAAAAATAAAATAAAATAATATATATATAAACAAAATAAAAATGAGCACAGAACAACCAACCATCGAAGAAACCACAGATAATGTTGAAGTAGAAAATACTGAAACAAATAAAGAAGAAGAAACTCAACAATCACAAGGTAATTTTTAACTATATATTTATTGTCAAAAATAACAAATTGGCTAATAAGTTTTAATGGTTTTTTTTTTTTGTAGGTTTCCAAATATTTGTTAAAACACCAGTTGAAATTGGAACTATTAAAATTCAAGTTCAACCAACTGATACATTATCAGATATTCAAACATTTTTATATGAAACTACAGAAACATGTCTTTATTCATCATATGAATTTAGTTTCAACGGTGTTTCTTACTCAGAATTTTCAGAATTATCAGCAATTGAAGGTTTTGGTGAAGGCTCAACATTAGAAATGGTTCCAGTTAATTATAATGAAAGAACTTCTAAACTTCATGTCAAAAGATTAAGAGATATTATGAGCACTGGCTTAACCGAATTTTCCAACATGAGCAATCCATCATTATTTGCAAGTTTCTCATTCCCAGAAAAATCAAATTATTTAACTGAAGAACAAAAAAATGAAAAATTAAATGAATTAATTAAAGAAGCTGAAGGTGAAGTTAAAAACGAAACTGAAACTGAAGCCGAAGAAAAGAAACAACAACCAAAACAACAACCAAAACAATCAAAGAACTCAAATAAAAAGAATAAGAAACAATCAAATGAAGTAGAATCAGTTGAAGAAAGTGAAAGTTTATCACCATACCAAAAAGAAAGAAAAGAAAAATTAACAGAAATTAAAGGTATTGATAAACCATTATTAAGCAATTATTTCCCATCTTCACCATATCAAATGGTACAATGCGTTAGACAAATGATTAATAGTGGCTGGTCACCAGTTCCAGGATTCAGAAAGCTTTATGGTGATTTATTCTATTTAGATATTACTCTTTTAGAAGGCACTACAATTTGTGTCACTGCTGGCAGTCAAGGTTTCTACGTTAATTCATCAACTCATTCAAACTTCAACCCAACACCAAAATCTGAAGTTTTCCACAGTCTTCATCAATTATTAAATCAACAAAGCAGATTATTCCGTCGTGGTCTCTCCCAAGTTCTTCAACAAATTTCAAAGAACCACGCTTTCGATTTACTTCCATCTGCAACACCAGTTCATAATTGGGTTTCCTCCAACAGAGTTAATCGTTATGATCTCAACAAAGCTGCTGATAGTTTATTAACTATTCAAGATTTAGAATTACGTGCACACCCACGTGATTGGAATGAAGAAATTCAAGGTCCAAAAGAACTTCCAAAAACCACTGTTCAAGAACGTATTATTAGAGATCGTGCTATTGCTAAAGTAAATGCTGATTTTGTTGAATGCGCAACCCGTGGTGCTCAAATTGTTGCTGATAAAGCTCTTCCACCAATTAATCCAACCGATCCAGAAAGAAGCCATATGTACTTATACAATAATATCTTTTTCAGTCATGCTCTCGATACTCGTGACACCTATAAAGATTGTGGTGGTGATGCTGCTGCTCGTACCTCTGCCAATAATGACTTAAAAGGTATTCGTCTTTATAATTTAGCCGATGTTGAAGGTCTTTACACATTAGGTACTGCTATTATTGATTACAAAGGTCAAAGAATTATTGCTCAATCATTAGTTCCAGGTATTTTAAGTAACGAAAAAACTTCACAAATTCACTATGGTTCAACTGACAATCAAACTGAAGAAGAAGCCGCCACCAGTGGTCAACCAACTAAAAAATCAATTAAATCTGATGAAGAGTTCCACAAACTTTTAACTCAAGTTGCATCTCAAATTCATCTTTCTGAAAGTGTTGTTGTCTCTGAAGAAACCAATGAACCAGTTACTATTTGCACTGCCTTTGAATCTAAAGGTATTATGGGTATTGATGGTCGTCGTTATGTTTTAGATTTAGTTAGAGCTACCCCACGTGATCCAAATTACCCAGAATTAAAAGATCAATTATGTTTACTTAGACCAGAAGTTATTGCTACTTTCACAGATTATATTAGACTTACTTATATTTCACAAAAGAAAGCTCAAAAACAAAAAGAAAGAGAAGAAAAAGAAAAGAATACACCAAAGAAAGAGGGCGAAGAACAATCAACCTCATCAAATGATATTGAATTAACCGAAGAAGAACTCAAACAATGTCAACCTCTTGCTTTTAATCCAAATCTTTACACCCCAATTAAATTAGGTGGTACTGAAGAAGAACAAAAGAAAGATATTGAAAACTTAAAATCAGTTGGTGTTTTCCTCAAGACTGTTTTAATTCCAAAATTAATTGAAGATTTAATGCTCTTCAATGTTGCCCCAGTTGATGGCCAAACTTTAACTTCAGTTATGCATAACCGTGGTATTAACATGAGATATTTAGGTTTAATTGCTAAAAACGAAGGTGCTGCAACTGTTCCATTCATCCAAGATCTCTTCTTTAACGAAATGGTTTCAAGAGCTGCCAAACATGCAATGAACAAACTCTTACGTAACACCCAATCATCAGATTTAGCCAATGCCATTTCACATTTCTTAAATTGCTTCCTTGGTACCGAAACTGGTTCAGTTACCCAAGACGAAAAGAATAAAAAAGCTAAACAAATTAAATCAAATGCTATTACTGAACTCACCCAAGGTAAACTTTGGGCTGAAATTGCTGACCTCGTTAAAGCCAAATATGACTTTGAAATTCCAACTCACTCTGTTCCAATGGAATCACGTTTAATTGTCTTAAGAAATTTCTGTATTAAAATGGGTATCCAAATTTTAGCTAAAGATTACAACTTTACTACCGACCATCCATTCACAAACGAAGATATCGTCGATTTAGTACCAGTTGTTAAACATCTTTCACCAAGATCAACTGATGGTTTAGATTTATTAGAGGCTGGTAAAACATTCTTCAACCAAAGAAGATTCGACCTTGCTGTTGATTTCATCAGTGAAGCTCTCGCAGTATACCATCAAGTTCATGGCCCAATTCATCCAGATGCCGCTTCATGTTTCACCCATTTAGCAATGTTAGCATTCCAATCAGAACAATTTGATCTTGCTATTGACCATCAAAAGAACTCTTTAATCATTCACGAAAAATGCTTTGGTTTTGATCACAATGAAACTGTCAACTCTTACACCAATCTTGCTATTTTCTGTCAACACGCTGGTCGTTTCAATGAAGCCATGGGTTACTTAAAACATGTTCTTTATTTAGTTGATTTATTAGGCGGTGAATATAACCCAGAACGTTCATCAGTATACACTACCATATCATCACTCTTAGAAGAAACTGGTAAATTTGAATTAGCTCTCGAATTCCTTCAACATACTCTCAAACATCAAGAATTTGTATTTGGTGTTGATCACCTTATGGGTAGCACTACTCTCCACAAAATGTCAATTATCTGTGCAAAGAATAGCAACTTTAAAGATGCCATTGAATACCAAACCAAATCATGTGCTATTGTCGAAAAAGAATTAGGTGCCGAACATGATCGTACTAAAGAATCAAAAGAATTTTTAAATTCAATGACCCATACCGCCAAACAAATCGAACAAATTAGAAAATTCCAAGCCATTAGACAAGAACAAGAAGAAAAAGAAAAAATCTTAAAAGAACAGCAACAACAACAAGTTAAACAACAACAACATATTCGTAATATCACCGCCAATGCTCCACCATCATCCGGTTCAGTAAACGATATTTTAAATTATATTAATGGTAAACCAAAATTAACCCAAAAAAGCAAACCAGCTATTAAAAAAACTGGTTCCACATCAACCCCAAAATTAAATAATAACAATGCCTCTTCAAGTATTACTGCTGCCGCTGCAATTGCTGCTGCCAATAAAACTTTAAATTCACAAACTAAAAAAGAATCAACCACCACAACTACAACCACCAAATCTTCACCAAAATCCAGTGCCAATCCAAAAAAAAATAAGGCCAACGAAAAGAAATAAATTTATAAAATAAATATTTTAATATAAAAATTAAAAAATATAGAAATTAAAAAATATAAAAATTTTATTATTTATTTAAAAATTAAAACATACTTTGCAATTATTTGTTGATTTCTTTTACTTTTTTTTTAAAAATTTTAAAATTTTTTATTTAATAGGTAAATGATTAAATTAATTAATTTTATATTATCTAATAATATAAATTAACTAAATAATGATTGAAATTATTTGAAAAAATTTTGAGCCAAAAAAAATAAAAAATTAAAATATTTTTTTTTTTATTTTTTTAAAATTTTTTTTTTTTATATTTTTTTATTTTTTTTTTATTTTTAATTTCAAAACTATTTACTTCATATATATATACTTTTTTTTTTATTTTTTTTTTTAAAGACTATACCATTCGATTAAAAAAAGAACAAAATAAAAAAAGAAGTTAAATAGAAATGGTAGAACAACAACAACAACAAGAAGAAGACATTTGGGGTCAAATCTTAAGAGAATCAGCAAATAAAAACAATTATTTTGAATCTAGACATGTTGCAATTTTAGGCGATCCAACATCAGGAAAATCATTATTATTATCAAAATTCGACACAATAACAGACGATAAAGATTTAAAGAGTATTGCATTAAGTTATACATTCTCAGATATTTATGAAGATGACACATCTGAGGACCCAATAGGCAGAATTAATTATTGGTCACTCGAAGGAGAATCATCACAAAATGACTTATTGAAATTTGCACTCAGTAAAGAAAATATAGAAAACTCTATGGTTATTATTACATTAGATTTTTCACAACCATGGTTATTGGTTGAATCATTAAAAGTATGTTTTATTTTAACATATTATTACAATAATAACCAATAGCACCAATATTAACATCTAATAATTTATTTTAGAAATGGTTAGGTATTTTAGAAGAACATATCAAATCAATTTTTAAAGATGACAAAAATGGGTTAAGAAAATTACAAGATAAATTATTAGTAAAATGGCATCAATATGTAGAACCACAATCACAACAAACATCACAACAACAACAACAACAACAACAACAACAAAATAACACAGCTAACCCAATCAACACCCCAATACAGAAAAAAAAGAAAAAGAGAGTTAATGCATCATACCAAGATGGAGATGCAAGTGTATTACCACCACTAAGCGAAAATATTTTAATTAACAATTTAGGTGTCCCAATTTTAGTAGCATGTTGTAAAGTAAGTAAAATAAAACTCTATAATATTTAACATTGCAATTAATAGATGACTAAATAATTCCTTAACTTTACAGAGTGATTCAGTTGTAATGCTCGAAAAAGATTTTGATTATAAAGATGAATTATTTGATTATATTCAACAATATTTAAGAAGAATTTGTCTTCAATGTAACTATCAACCTTTATTTGTATCGTAAAAACTAACAAAGTACTAATCAATTAACTTTGTAATATTTTTTTATAGATGGTGCAGGTTTAATTTATACATCAGCCAAAAAAGAAATTAATTGTGATGTTTCATTGGAATATATCGAAAATATTTTATTTGGATTCGAATTAAAATCCAAAACACAATTAATTGAAAAAGATCAAATTTTTGTTCCAGCTGGATGGGACACATTAGCAAAAATCCAAGTCGATTTCGATAATCAAAAGGTTTGTAAGGATGCTGATGAGCCATATGAAAATATTGTAAAGAAACCAAGTATTATTAAGAGAAGAGAAATGACACAAAATAATTTATTAATAGCTGATGAAGATCAAGAATTTTTAAGTAAAATTAAATCAATGTTAGATAAAGATGGTGATGGAACTGATGCCGGTTTATCATCCATTTCACCAACTCCAACTTCCCCTGCAATATCACAACCATCACAAAATTCCTCACAACCTCAATCTTCCCAATCACAACAACCAAACACCACATCACCAACCAATCCATTAAGAGTCAGTAGTGGTAACGTTTCTGGCACTCCAGTTGCCGCATCACCATCTGCTGAAAGAGCTGCTTTAGCAAATTTCTTTACTTCATTAATTTCAAAAGATAAAACCTCATCAAGAAAGGATATTAAATCTTCTTTAACCTCACCACCAACCGCCTCAACATCATCATCAAATGTTAGAGGTGATGCTCAAAAAGAATTAGAAAAATTAAAGCAACAAAAAAAATAACCTAAATTAAAACAGATAATAACTTAAAATCAATAATTATTTAACTAATTTATAACATTCAAATAAATAAAAATTAAAAATTTAAAAAATTATATAAAAAAACAACGGATATAAAATTTATAACGTTTTCTATTCCTATAATGATCATATACAACATACATCTGAAAATAGAAATAACCCTTTATTTTAATATAAAATTAAAATAAAAAAAACTTTATTATAATGATTGGGTCCATTTATCATTTTTAAAGAAAAACTCTTTAACCAAAGTTGTTTAATTATTTTTTTCTTTGATAAAAAAATTATAATAAAATCCTATATATGGAAATTTAAAATATTTTTTTTGTTTGTCGGATACAATTAAAATAATTGATGATGATGATTAACTAAGAAAAAAAAAACTTGATTATTATAAAATAATTTATAAATGGAAATATAAATTTATTTATATTAAATTATTTAAATTTACATATATAAAAATCGTTTGTTAATTTAAAAAAAAAAAAATTATTTAAAAAAAAAAAAAATTGATTTTTTTTTTTGATTTTTTTTTTTTTTTTTGATTTTTTGGTTATGACCATTCAATTGGTTTTTTGATTTTTTTCATTTTCAATAATTATTGATACCACAGTAAGTATAAATAATAATAAAATAGTTAGTTAGTTATTAAAAAACTATATTTTTATTTTTTTATTGGTCATTTATAGTTTTATTTATCATTTTTTTTTTATGATTTGTTTTTTTTGTTTTTCTTTAAATTGGTTATTTTTTTTATTTTTTTTTTATTTTTTTTATATTTTTTTTTTTTAAATTTATTAAAAAAAATCCCTATAAATTAGCTCCAATTCCATCATTTTAAAAACACCAAAAACAAACAATAACAAAGACAAAACAAATTATTTATTCAAACTTTCTATTTATTTATTTATTTATTTATTTTGCCAAGCAATAATATTTTAATAAAAAAGGTAAACTTTTTTTTTTTATTTAAAAAATAATTATTTTTAAATACAAATAAAAAAATCAAACAATATTCATATTTTCTTTATTTGGAATTGCTTTTAATTTTAATATTTTAAAAAAAAAATTAAGTGATATACTTATTTTTAATAAAACCGATATAATATAATCAATAATTCTTGTTTTTTTTTTTTTTTTTTCTTCAATTTTCAACTAATAATTTTAACAATAAATAACACATTATAGATAAAATAAAAAAAATATTGTTATTTTTTTTTAATAAAAAAAAAGTTTCTTTTCTTTATTATTTCGGAAAAAAAAATAGAGTAGGGACAAAAAAAAAAAAAAAATCAAAATTTTTATAATCTTTTTTACAATACCACACTCATGTATTAACACTACCCTGCCCCCCGCTACTTAGCACATATCCTTATTTGTTTATAATTTTAAAAAAACCCACACAAAATACCAATTTTATTTTAAAAAAATTCAATTTATTGTTAATTTTATTATTGTATTATTCTAAATAATATTAAAAATATTTATGGAAAAGAAAACAATTAAAAATAATTATTTTTAAAACTTTATTTTTTATAATAGTTTTCCCCAAAAAAATATTTTTAATTAATTTACAATCATTGTGTTGTAATTCGTTTTTGTTATTAACCTTAAAAAAAAAAAAAAAATAATAATAATAAAGTTCAATAAATTTTTTTTAAAAATTAATTATTTGCATTGTTAAATTTATATGAATTAGTTTAATAAAATAATAATAATAAAATAAAAATAATACAATTGTTGATTAATAAATAACTAATAATAATATAGAATAAATCACATTTATTGTTGTACAACGTATTTTAAATATTATAATTTTTTTATTATTATTTGGTTTTTTTTTAAAAAAATAAAGTATTTTCTTGTTGTTTTCAAGTGTATATAATAGTAAATTTTACTCTATATTTAAAGATTTATCATAAAAGAAAAAAAAATAATATCATTTTCACCCCTCTATCATCATAATCATTCAATAAAATAATAAATTTACTATACTTTTATGTATTAAAAACATTATTATCGCAGCTCGAAATAATTTTATAAATTTAAATAATTTGCAAATTTTTTTTATTTTATTTTATTTTATTTTTAACTTTTTTTATTATTTAAAATATTATTTAAGTTGGTTTTTTATTTTAATCAACTAATTCATTTATTATATTAAAAAAAAATAAAGAAAAATATAAATAGAAATTTTCTTTTTTTTTTTTTTTTTTTCATTAATTTTCAATTTTATTTATTTACATTTTTCTTTAAAACAATTAATTTTTAAAAATAATATACTAATAACTATAATAAAAATAATAAAAATAATAATAGTAGTTATAGAAAATGAAAACTTTTAAAAGTTTGATTTTACTATCTTTATTGATAGTAAATCTTTTAATCTCGACATCATATGCCACTTCAATTAGAGTCAGTATTGTCGAAGCCGAAAAGGGCGAAATCAAAAATCCACAAGAATATAGTGCTACCGAACAATTAAAAACAAAATCACACTCTACCAAACGTGAAATGAAATTAGACTATAGCCAAATTTACCCACCAAAACCAAAAACTAAAGAACAACTCGAATTCATTTCAACAAGAGACTCTTTTGTTGACAATTTATTAGGTAAAATGTCTATTCTTGAAAAGATTGGTCAAATGACTCAGGTAAGTAAAAAAATAAATTAAAATAATAATAGAAAATTAAATAAAATATTAATTTTTTTTTAAATATTTAGTTGGATATTACAACTTTAACCATGCCAAATACAATCATTATCAATGAAACCACCTTAGCTTATTATGCTAAAACATACTATATTGGTTCATATTTAAATTCACCAGTATCAGGTGGTTTAGCTGGTGACAATCACCATATTAATTCAAGTCAATGGTTAAATATTATCAATAACATTCAAAAGATTACAATTGAGTCCAGTCCAAATAGTATTCCAATGATTTACGGTTTAGATTCTGTTCATGGTGCTAATTATGTCCATAAAGCTACTCTTTTCCCACATAACACTGGTTTAGCCGCTACCTTTAATACTGTTCATTCTACTGCTGCTGCCGTTGTAACTGCCAAAGATACTTCAGCTGTTGGTATTCCATGGGTTTTCGCACCAGTTCTTGGTATTGGAGTTCAACCATTATGGCCACGTATTTATGAAACTTTTGGTGAAGATCCATATGTTGCTTCTATGATGGGTGCTGCTGCTGTTAGAGGTTTCCAAGGTGGTAACAATTCATTCGATAATCCAATTAAAACTCCATCAGCTGTTGCTACTGCTAAACATTACTTTGGTTATTCTGATCCAACTTCAGGTAAAGATAGAACTGCTGCTTGGTTACCAGAAAGAATGCTCCGTCGTTATTTCCTTCCATCATTTGCTGAAGCTATTACTGGTGCTGGTGCCGGTACTATTATGATTAATTCTGGTGAAGTTAATGGTGTTCCAATGCATACCTCCTACAAATATCTTACTGAAGTACTTAGAAACGAATTAAGATTTGAAGGTGTTGCTGTTACCGATTGGCAAGATATTGAAAAATTAGTTTTCTTCCATCATACTGCCGGTACTATGGAGGAAGCTATCATGCAAGCTTTAGATGCTGGTATTGATATGTCAATGGTTCCACTCGATCTTTCATTCCCAATTATTCTTAATGAATTAGTCGAAGCTGGTCAAGTCCCAGAAGAACGTCTCGATATCTCAGTTAGAAGAATCTTAAATCTTAAGTATGCTCTTGGTCTCTTTGAAAACCCATACCCAAATCCAAATGCCGCTATTGTCGATACCATTGGTCAAGTTGAAGATAGAGAAAATGCTGCCGCTGCTGTCGAGGAATCAATTACTCTTTTACAAAACAAGAACAATATCCTCCCATTAAACACTGAAGCTTATAAAAATATCCTCCTTACTGGTCCATCAGCTCACAGTATTAAAAATCTTAATGGTGGTTGGTCAGTTCATTGGCAAGGTGCTTATGAAGATAGTGAATTCCCATTTGGTACCTCAATTCTCACTGGTCTTCAAGATGTTTTAAATAACACTGATGTTAATATCGAATATCAAATTGGTACTGAAATTGGTGTTGCTCTTAATCAATCATCAATTGATTGCGCAGTTGCCGCTGCCAGACAAGCTGATGTTGTAGTTATGGTTATTGGTGAACTCCCAGAAGCTGAAACCCCAGGTGATATTGATGATCTCACAATGGACGCTAATGAAATCCTTTTATTAGAATCAGTTCTTGCTACTAAAACTCCAGTTGTTCTCATCCTCGTTGAAGCTCGTCCAAGAATTCTTCCACCAGCTCTTGTTTATAACTGTAGTGCTGTATTAATGGCTTACCTTCCAGGTAGTGAAGGTGGTAAACCAATTGCCAATATTCTTATGGGTAATGTTAATCCATCTGGACGTCTCCCACTTACCTATCCAGGTTATACTGGTGATATTGGTGTTCCATATTATCACAAATACAGTGAAATTGGTGTTACCTCACCACTTTTCCAATTTGGAGAGGGTCTTTCTTATACTATCTTCAACTACACCAATCTTCAACTCAATGCCATTCCAATTTCTGGTCAACCAGGTAACTACTCTGGCTCATTAGGTTCAACTTATACTGTCACAGTTACTGTCACCAACAATGGTGCAATGGCCGGTAAAGATTCAGTTCTTTTATATCTTTCTGATTTATGGGCTCAAGTTACACCAGAAGTTAAGATGCTTCGTGGTTTCCAAAAAGTCGACCTTGCTCCACAAGAATCAACCACCATCGAATTTACTTTATCACCATACGACTTTTCTTTCATTGGTATTGATAACAAGATTACCTTAGAATCCGGTCAATTTGTTATTGCTATTGGTAATCAACAAGTTTCTTTATATTTACAATAAAATAATAATCAATAATAATACATTTCAGTAATAATAATTTTAAGATCTCAAAAAAAAAATTTGTTAAATAAAATAATAATATATTTTATATCTTTTTAAAATTATTTAAAAACTATATCTAAAATGTAGTTTTATAGTTTTTTTTAGTTTTTTCAAAGCAATAGAGGAAAATAATCAATTGAGTCTACCAATAGTCAAATCAAGGCATTAACATTGAGTATGTAGAATATCACAACTTGAGATTCAATTGAACTAGAAGGTATTTCATGAGTACTTAAAGATACAAACAAATGAGTTTTAAATACATCTATTAAATCAAACATTGGTCACAGTGATGCATAATGTTATTCGTCAAATGTTGTATTATGTATTAAACCCTTTTTACAGCAATAACAAAAATACTATCATGGCTATTAATAACTTTGGTATAACTTCAAAAAGTTAAAAACAATTAAATTATCCTAATCCCATTGCTGATACCCAATAAAAAACCAAACAAGATAACAAAGAAAAAACATTTTATTTCTTTAAATTTTAATTAACCATAATTAAATGGTTAGTTTATTAAGTTTTATTTATTTTTATTTATTATTTCCGTGTAAAGCTATATCATCCTTAAGAATTTGAAAAGAACCAACTAAAGAACCCAATTGTAGTTTTTCTGAAGCACCATTTGAAAGATTAAATTCTATATCAGAAAGATGGCTTAAAGCTTTACATAAAAGAATTGAAGGCATATCGTCCATTTCCATTAAAAAGTGTGGGAAATATGAAATGATATCGGTTAATGATAAACCTTTTTTCTTTTTTAAATCGGTGATATTATTAAAAGCTGTTTGAAAATCTTCATTAAATAACCATTCCAATACCATGTGAAAATCTGTTGGTGAGGGATTACCTGTACATTTATAAATTTGTTCTTCACCAATAAGACCATTTGTAGACATTGAAACTGATTGTAAAATATTTAATGACTTTCTCATATCACCATCGCCTAAAAATAATACTGCTTTCATTCCTTCTTCATCGATTTGTACACTATATAAATCATATTTTTTATAAATATTAGTTAAAACTATATTTTGAGATTATAAAACTATATATAATGCATACTTTTCAATCTTTAAAATTTCTTTTAATCTTTCTTCGGTTGCACTGTCTGGTAATGGTTTAAATCTAAATCTTGTACATCTTGATTGAAGAGCTGGAATAATTTTAACAACATAATTACATACAATACAAAATCTAGTTGTTTTTGTATATTTTTCAATAACTCTTCTTAATGCAGTTTGTGCAATATTTGTCATTGAATCGGCTTCATCTAAAATGATTAATTTATATGGTACTGTTGAACTAATAAATTTAAAAATTAATATATTGTTTTAAAAAAGAAATGATAAAATATGCATACTTGAAAAAAAACATTGAACTTGCAAAGGTTTTAATTTGTTCTCTGACAACATCAATACCACGATCATCCGATGCATTTAATTCCAATACCATTCTTGAATAGTTTTCGCCATATAGTTTTCTTGCAATTGCTTGGATTGTTGATGTTTTACCTGTACCTGGAGGCCCATAAAAAAGTAAATGTGGTAATGTATTACTTTCTATTAATTTATTAACTAAATTATAAATATAAATAAATATGTTAATGAATGTATTTATATTATTTTTTTCTTTGTTTAATTCTGTGAATATTACTTGTTGCTATGATATCATCATGTGCAATTAAATCGTTAATTGATTTTGGTCTATATTTCTCTACCCATGGTAAGCTTTCAAATTGTCTTCTTTCTAAATCTGATTTAAATTGATCTATTTCTTTATTTTTTTCTGCCATATCAACCTCCATTTGAATATAATTTAAATATCGGTCTATATATATTAATGAATCTACTACAAAATATTAATGATTTTGAAAATAAAAATTAAATAAAAATAAATTGATAAAAAAAATTTAAAAAAAATAAAAAAAAAAAAAATAAAAAAAAAAATAAAAAAAGCGGCAATAAATATTATTAATTTTTATCTTTATGAAAAAAAATATTTAATTATTATGCTAAATATTACCTATACATATTATTATTATGCTAAAATGTTAAATTAAATAGTAATCATCTATTAATAGTAAATCAATAGATTAATGTTTTTTTTTTTATTTTTTTTTTTATATTCTATTTTATTTTTTTTATATACACTTATTTAAATAAAAATTTTTATTTTTTCAAATTTTTATTTTTAAAAAAAAAAAAAAAAAAAAAAAAGGAAAAATAAGGGTTATATACAATTTAATTATAGTTATTATAACATTATAATGAAAATCTATTTATAATAATAGACATCATTAATGGAATCGTAATCTACGATAACTGTGTTTTTAAAATAAAAAAAAAAAAAAAAATTTTTAATTTAAATTTAAATATTTTTTTTATTTTTAAAAAAAAACTGCACCGGTTGTCTACAAATATTAAAAGAAAAAAACAAAAAAAAAAAAAATAATTATTTAAAGCATTTATACACTCTCAAATAAAAATAAAGTTATAATAAAATAATAATAGTTTTATGGAATAAATAATAACAATAATGAAAAAATTATTAACAGCTTATCACAATTTAAAAAATAATAAAGATAATAATATAATTGACAATGAAAATAATAAAATGATAAAAAAAGAAAAGAAAAAAGAAAAAAAAATAGTGAATTATTATTTAGAGAACCCGGTACTAGAAAAAGACAATAACGATGGTACTAGTAGTAGTAGTAGTAATAATAATAATAGCAATAGTGGTGAATTATTTTTAATAATTTTTAGAATCAATGATATTAGAAATAAAATATTCTATTATTTAAAATTTTATCAAATTCATTATCAAAAGAGATGCTATACAATTAATAGATTGGTGTCATATTATTATAAAGAATATTTAAGATCAGTATTAATTAAAACCGATAGTAGCATTGGTGATGATAGTAATGGCCAATTAACAGAAATGAAACTATCACAATTACCAGACTCAATTAAATTTATAGAGTTTCAATCAAAGTTTAACAGTGTAATTAATGTAGGGTCTTTCAAACAAGATTCAAATATTGTTGGTATTCAATTTGGGAAAAGCTATGACCAACCAATAAAGCCAGGTTCATTTCCAAAGCAAATCAAATATTTATCTCTAGGCCAAAAGTACAACCAACGTTTAGAGATTGGAACTCTTATCGATTTAAATAATCTCTACTATTTAAACATGGGCAGTAATGGTGGGAAATCAATTATTTCAGGTTCCATTCCAAGGAATGTTAAAGAACTTTCAATAGGCGATGAATATAACAAAAAGATATTAGATGGCATGTTGCCACCAGGCTTATTATCACTGACAATAGGATCTTCTTTTGAACGTAAATTAAGAGAGAACTCACTTCCCCAATCATTAACCTCTTTAACACTCGGTAATAAATTTAATAACGAAATTAAAGAAAACTGCCTTCCTCCATCTCTTACCTATCTTCAGTTTGGCTATTTCTACAACAAAGCTTTTCAGGTTGGTGTTTTACCTGAAAATTTAAAAACCCTTATTTTGGGATACAAGTTCAATCAAAAAATCGAACCAAATCAATTACCAGAATCACTAGAACACCTTCATCTTGGATTTATGTTTAATCAAAACCTTATTGAAGGATGTTTACCAAGTTCTTTAAAAAAACTCATCATCAGCAATAATTTTAACAAAGAGATTAAAGAAAATGTTTTACCAGATGGATTGGAATATTTAGATATGGGTCAAGATTATAATTTTCCAATTGGTAATCTTTCCATGGGTAATTGCAGTGGTAGTATTAAAGACATTCCATGTAAAAGTAATGAAAATGAAATGAAGCTATTTTCGATTTTACCAACAAGCTTAAAATTTTTAAAACTTTCAATTCAGTATAATCAAGAAATTAAACATCCCGGTATTTTACCTGAGGGTTTACTATCCTTAGAGTTTGGATTCTTTTATAATCACAAATTTAACAATAATATTTTACCATCAACATTAACCGAACTCATTGTATCACATCCATTCGTTGATAATATCCCCAAATCCATCAAATCACTCTATCTAAATTCAATCAAAGAGTCTATTGAAGTTAATACAATCCCTAGAACTGTAGAATCATTGCACATTGACTCATTTACATTCAATGTTAATGCAGGCTCAATTCCTTCAAGTTTATTATCGATTACTTTTGGAAGCTATTTCAATATACCATTTAAATTGGAGTGGTTTGAAATTGGTTCCAATTTAACCACAATCGACTTTGGATATTTCTATAACCAACCCATCCAACCTTACTCTATACCAACTTCAGTTACCTCGTTGTCATTTGGACTCAGATTTAGCCAAGACCTCTCAAAAGATGGTATTTTACCAGAGAACCTTCAAGTTTTGTCGATTGGTGACAGTTTCCCAGTTATAGATTTTTACAAACTACCAAAATCTTTAAATAGTTTAATTGTTTTCAGTACCAATGAATTATTTTTAGAATTAATCAATTTAGATTTATTCTATCCAATTTTAAAAGTTAAAAATAACAATTTAAATAATAATATAAATAATAATAGTAGTATCTATCATAATAAAAATAATAAATTTAAATTAATAAATAATGATAGTGTTTATATATAATTTAATTAGTTTTTAAATTATAATATCATTATTTAATTAGTTTTTTTTTTTTCTAATATTTACATAGCTTAAGTTTCTTTTTTATTATCATCAAATATTGTATTTTTCTTTATTTAATATAGTATTTTTAAGTGTAATTAAAAAAAAAAAGTAAAAAGGCAATATTACTATTACTTTAAAATGATTTTATTTATTTTTTTTATATCGTTATTTAATGATGATTGGTACCAAAGTATCTAGATTAAAAAAAATAAAATTTAATTAGTAAAGGTGAATGATACCATTTAAAATAAACACTTACAAATCACCAAAGTCACCAATACCTGGCATAATGTATTTCTTTTCATTAAGTCTTTCATCTATAAAATTTCATTTAAAATTATTGATTGTAATAAAATTTATTGTTAGTAACCACAATTCAAAAAATAGAAAAAATAAAATCAACTCATACCAATTTCACCAGTAACAATTTTAACTTTTGGATGTCTATCTTGGAAATATTTGATACCTTCTGGGGCGGCAACTAAATTAATAAAAACAATATTTTCTTCTTTTACACCTCTTTCTAAAAGGACTTCAATGGCTTGTGTAACAGTACCACCAGTAGCTAACATTGGGTCTAATAATAATACATGTCTTTTAGCAATATCATTTGGTAATTTAGCATATAATAACTAAATAAAAATTAAGATAGTATAGTAATGATTATGAGATAATGAGATTATGATTATGATTATGATTATGATTATGATTATGATTATGATTATGATTATGATTATGATTATGATTATGATTATGATTATGATTATGATTATGATTATGATTATAGTTTTTTGTTATTGGTGTTAAAGATAAAAATGATAAAAAGTTAGTAAATAGAAATTGTATGAATGAGTTTTTTTTTTTAAATATTACTTTTGGCATTGCTGTCTCTTCATCTCTTTGAATTAAAATTTTACCAATTTTGATATGTTTACAAACAGCACGAAGACCAGCTTCCATTGATTCACCAGCTCTAACGATACTAACACCACAGATTTTACTAGCGAATGAAACACCGTTGTATTCAGCGCCAGTTGGTGTGGTGATTGTGGTTTCTTCGAATGGGAGGCAATTTAAACCTTCTTCAATTAAAAGACGAATAATTCTATCTGAATAAAAAATGAAATCTTCTCTTTTTGTATCACGATTTCTGATAATTGTGAATAAGCCTTTTAATTGACGACTTGATTTTAATACTACAACCTATACATACATTATTCATAAATATATTATATTATTATTATTATTATTATGTTGATTTCAAATTTGATATATTAGTAAGTGTGCATCTTTAAAATATCAATCTTAATAATCTAAATCATACATTATTAGTTTCAGCCATTGTTTTATATTAAACGAATCGATAGAAAAAATTTTAAAAAAAAAAAAAAAAAATTTTTAAAAAAATATTTTTTAAATTTATAAAAAAAAAAAATAAAAAAAATAATTTTTTAAATAAACAAATAAATAAATTATATTTATTCATTAAATTCAATTAATAAAAATGGATTAATCAATAAATAATTTAAAAAAATAATTTAAATTTTATATATTATAATCAAATTAAAAACTTGATTTTTGAGAAACAAATTTAAAATTTTTTTGATTGAATTGTTTATTTAATATTATAAATACATATTATTTAAGAAAAAAAAAAAAAAAAAAAAAAAAAAAAAAGAATAAAAAAAAAAAAAAAAAGATTTTTTTTGTAATTGAAAAATACCCTTCCCTCCCCCCTATTCAATTTTAGGAAAAAGGGGGGGAAAAAAAAAACTAAAAACCAAACAACAATAATAAAATTATATTTTTTGTCACTGGTTTTTAATTTTTTTTTTTTTTTTTTTGAGAAAAAAAAACAGAACTGAAAGTTTATTGATTATAAAAATGATTTTTATGGTTGATTTTTCATTGCCCAAAATAACTATCCAAAAAAAATTGAAAAATATTTCAAAAAAATTTTTTTTTTTAAACGCATGATATTTTCTCATAGAGAATCTTTATTATCAAAATTATCGAGATAATAACAGCCACAAAAACAGTTTTATATGTAATGTTTTTTTTTTTTTTAAATTTTTAATAACATATTTTTAGGAAGAGTGCAATCCAAAACATATGAGTTTTTTCATAATTATTTTTTATTTTTTTTTTTATTTTTTTTTTTTTTTTCTTCTTGAATAAAAAACAAAACCAAAAAAAAAAAAAAAAAAAAAATAATAATAATAATAATAATAATAAAAATATAGTGATGATGGGAAAAATATTTTATATATTTCTTTTTTTAATAATTTCGATAAATGGAATTCTTTCTCAGACATGTGCAAGTGGTACCACTTATGTAAGTGGTGTAGGTTGTGTAAAACAAGTTGTAACAACAATTGGAACAGCCACAGTAAGTATTACAATTTTTTTTTTTTTTTTTTTTTTAAAGTCTTTATTTTTCTTAAAAAATAAAATTAAATTTACTATTATCTTTGAAATAATTTTTTTTATTTTTATTTATTTTTTTATTCTTTTATTTATTTTCTTTTTTTTTATTTTCTTTTACAATTAACACATGTGTGCCACTACATATTTTTTATTTAAAGATTTCAAGTGTTTATTAATATTTTAAAAAAAATTTACTATAGTGTAGAAGTGGAACTAATGTTCAATTTTATTTAAGATCTGGGGCAGTTACATGTCCTGCTGGTAAGTTATAATATAATAGTGGAAATATATTTGATATCATTATTTTAACAAAGTTTTTAAAATTTAATATTATATAATAATAATAATAATAATATTAAAATAGGTTGGTCAAATGCATATAGTGCAGGTGCTAGAACAGTAAATATTGTAAATAATAAAATTGATTATTATCAATGTGAAGAGGTTACTTGGATTGTTGATCAAAGTTATTACGAATATTATGATAGTGTTGGTGGTTGTGGTAAAGATGGTTATACAGTTATTCCAATTACTTTTTCAACAACAAACAGATTTTTGGTTGTATTATCTTGTGCTACCACTGGTGGTTATTGGTATACTGCTGAAAGTTCTCCAACTAATCAAGCAACTGCTGCAACTAAAGCAACATGCAAAGGAACAATGAAAACAGATTATTCTCTTGAAATTTATTCTGCTGTTTGTCCAGTTGGTTACACAGGGACTGCACCAAATTGCGTTGGTAAGTATTTATAAATCTCTACATTTATTCAATAAGTGATATTAATTCTAATAAAAATAATAGATATAAATGAATGTGCAACAAATAAAGGTGGATGTGCTCATACATGCACCAATACAGCAGGTTCTTTTACATGTTCATGTAATGCTGGTTATACATTAAATCCTGATAAAAAGGGTTGTACAGGTAGGTATTGGTTTAAAATAAATACTTTATTAATTTCTAATATTAATATTTAATTTTAATAATTCCAATATAGATATAAACGAATGTTTAACAAATAAAGGTGGATGTGCTCATACATGTACCAATACAGCAGGTTCATTTACATGTTCATGTAATGCTGGTTATACATTAAATTCTGATAAGAAGGGTTGTACAGGTAAGTAATTGATTTTGAATTTAATAACAAATTAGTTTTGATTTATTAATAATTACTTATAAATTGTAATTCACCTTTAGATATAAACGAATGTGCAACAAATAATGGTGGATGTGCTCAAACTTGTACCAACACAGCAGGTTCATTTGCATGTTCATGTGCTGCTGGTTATACATTAAATACTGATAAAAAGGGTTGTACAGGTTAGTATAGTTTTCAAAAATATTTCCTATTAATTGCTTAATTATTTGATTGTTTATTAATATTTTTTAAAATATAACATAGATATAAACGAATGTTCAACAAATAATGGTGGCTGTGCTCAAACTTGTACAAATTCACCTGGTTCATTTGCATGTTCATGTGCTGCTGGTTATACATTAAATTCTGATAAAAAGGGTTGTACAGGTAAGTAATGAGTTTAGAATAAAATAACGGATTAGTTTTGAATTAGTAATAACTTTTTAAAATTATAATTGTAAATCACCTTTAGATATAAACGAATGTGCAACAAGTAATGGTGGTTGTGCTCAAACATGTACCAACACACCTGGTTCATTTGCATGTTCATGTGCTGCTGGTTATACATTAAATACTGATAAAAAGGGTTGTACAGGTTAGTATAGTTTTCAAAAATATTTCCTATTAATCGTTTAATTATTTGATTGCTTATTAAATTTTTTTAAAATATAACATAGATATAAATGAATGTTCAACAAATAATGGTGGTTGTGCTCAAACTTGTACAAATTCACCTGGTTCATTTGCATGTTCATGTGCTGCTGGTTATACATTAAACCCAGATGGCAAGGGTTGCACAGGTAAGTAGTTTTCAATTTTTTTTGTTATTAATTGGTTAAATATTAATTGCATTAATTGTTAATTAGATATAAACGAATGTTCAACAAATAATGGTGGTTGTGCTCAAACATGTACCAACACACCTGGTTCATTTGCATGTTCATGTGCTGCTGGTTATACATTAAATACTGATAAAAAGGGCTGTACAGGTATGTAATTTAATATTACAATTATTTACATTTGTTTTATAATTTAATTATTAATTGCTTCAATTTCTTTAGATGTAAATGAGTGTTCAACAAACAATGGTGGTTGTGCCCAAACTTGTACCAACACACCTGGTTCTTTCGCATGTTCATGTGCTGCTGGTTATACATTAAACCCTGATGGCAAGGGTTGTACAGGTTAGTATATTCTTAAATAATTTTTGTTTTTATTAATATTAATTGATCCTTATTTCAAATTCTTAGATATAAACGAATGTGCAACAAGTAATGGTGGTTGTGCTCAAACATGTACCAATTCACCTGGTTCATTTGCATGTTCTTGTGATTCTGGTTATACATTAAATGCCGATAAAAAGGGCTGCACAGGTTAGTATAGTTATTTAGCTTTAAAGTTACAAAGTTTAAAACTTAATATTCATTTTTTCTTTATAATAAAAACGAAAATAGATATTAATGAATGTGCAACTAGCAATGGTGGTTGTGCTCATACATGTACCAACTCAATTGGTTCATTTGTTTGTTCATGTGATGCTGGTTATACTTTAAATTCAGATAAAAAGGGTTGTACAGGTTCGTATTTTATTAGATTAAAGTGTTCTTTAAATCATTTTAATAACATTAGTTTTTATATAATATAAATAGATATAAATGAATGTTCAACAAATAATGGTGGTTGTGCCCAAACATGTACCAATTCACCTGGATCATTTGCATGTTCTTGTGGTTCCGGTTATACTTTAAATACTGATAAAAAGGGTTGCACAGGTAATTATTATACGAATTTTTTTTTTTTTTCAAAAGTTTTGTTTTTCTAATTTATTTATCAAATAAAACAGATATAGATGAGTGTAAATTAAATACTGCAGGATGTAGCGATATGTGTACCAATACAATTGGTTCATTTGTTTGCAGTTGCCCATCAGGTTACTATCTCGCTGCCGATAAAAAAACTTGTTTAGGTTAGTAAATAATAATTTTTTAAATAAAATTTATATTTTTTATTAATTTTTTTAAAATAATTATAGATACAAATGAATGTTCAACAGACAATGGCGGTTGTGCCCAAACATGTACCAATTCACCTGGTTCCTATTCTTGTTCATGTGGCTCCGGTTATACTTTAAACGCTGATAAAAAGGGTTGTACAGGTTAGTATTGTTTATGGTTTTTTATTGTATATAAAATATTAAAATTATTAATAATTATAATAATAGATATCAACGAATGTTTAACAACCCCAACCATTTGTGGTAGTGCAATTTGTAATAATCAAATTGGTAGCTATAACTGTTCATGTGAAAATGGTTATGAATTAACTCCAAACAATCAAATAGCTTTTACTTGTGAAGATATCGATGAATGCGACAGAGGAATTTCTGGTTGCTCCCAATTATGTGAAAATACTATTGGTTCATTCTTATGCTCTTGCGAATCAGGTTATACTTTAAATGCCGATAAAAAGGGTTGCACAGGTAAGTGTTTTATTAAATAGTATTAAATCGTGTTTATATAATTTTAACATTTTATCAATCAATTTAGATATCAACGAATGTATAACAACTCCAACCATTTGTGGTAGTGCAATTTGTAATAATCAAATTGGTAGCTATAACTGTTCATGTGAAAATGGTTATGAATTAACTCCAAACAATGAAAACTCTTACACTTGTGAAGATATTGATGAATGCGACAGAGGAATTTCTGGTTGCTCCCAATTATGTGAAAATAATATTGGTTCATTCTCATGTTCTTGCGAATCAGGTTATACATTAGATGCCGATAAAAAGGGTTGCACAGGTAAGTAATACTTTATGTGTATTTATTATAATTTTAAATATATAAGTTTAAATACTAATTGCTTTTATTTTAGATATTGATGAATGTATTGATGGTGGAGGCTGTGAACAAATATGCAATAATTTAATGGGTTCTTTCGAATGTTTATGTGATCCAGGATATTCATTAGATGATGATAAAAAGGGTTGCACAGGTAAGAATCATTTTTATTTCATAGTTGATATTTTACTTTTTTATTAATATTTTAAATTCTTATAGATATTGATGAATGTGTAGTCGGAAGCTCAGGTTGCGCTCAAAATTGTAAAAATTTAATTGGTTCTTTTGAATGCTCTTGTGACTCAGGATTTACTTTAAATGATGATAAAAAAGGTTGCACAGGTTAGTATTGGTTATTCATTTTTATAGATAATTATATATTATAAGTTAAAATTAACATTGTATTTAATTATTAACAGATATTGATGAATGTATTGACGGCGGCGGTTGCCAACACATATGTGATAATTTAGTTGGTTCATACCAATGCTTATGTAATCCAGGGTACTCTTTGGATGAAGATAAAAAGGGTTGCACAGGTATATATAGTTTATAAAAAAAATTTTAATACTATAATAAAAAATTATTAACACTTTTAAATAATAATAGATATTGATGAATGTATTGATGGCGGAGGTTGTTCACAATATTGCCATAACTCACCTGGTTCTTACTCATGTTCATGTGATTCTGGATATGTTTTAGATTCAAACAATAAGATATGCTTAGGTATTTATTTTATATAATATTTAATTATTTAATTTTAGAAAAATTTTATTTACATTTATTTTATTTTAATAGATATTAATGAGTGTTTAGATGGTTCCAATAAATGTATTGGTGTTTCAGTTTGTAAAAATACTATTGGTAATTATTTTATAAATATATAGCTTTGCTCAAATATAATAGGTCTATTAAATAATTAACATTATATTTTAATATAGGTTCATATGATTGTCAATGTCCAAATGGTTTCGTTAGTACAAGTGATAAATTAGGCTGTGAAGATATTGACGAGTGCAGCAGTATTGAATTAAATAAGTGTGCCAATAATACAAATTGTTTAAATACTTTTGGTGATTACAATTGCCCATGCATCCCATACTTCTCCCGTTTCGATAAATATAATTGCGTACCAAAACCAATTATTAGTAATTTTTATCAAAAACCAACCAAAGTTAATATTTTCCAAGTTGAAGGTTATAATTTTATTGCCTCTCATGAAACCAAAACTTTAATTAACTCCCAACTCGAATGTACCTATTTATCTGGTAATGAAAATTCTTTTGAATGTTTCACAAGTGAAAATACAGAGGTTAGAGGAAACGTTACTGTAGAATGTAATCAATTAGTTTCAGATTCATTTAATTACATTGGTGCACCATTTTTAACACAATATGTAGGAACACCATCAACCATGGGTGGTGATATTATTACATTATTTGGCAGAAATTTACCAACTGGAAACATTCAATTATTAGTTAATTCAAATCCACAAAATATTACCATTGTCGACGAAGATTACATAGAATTCCAATCATCTCAAGGTTCTGGTAAAAACAATTTAATTAGACTTTCAAATGAAACAGCAACAAATACCGATATGATGTTTATTGAATTTGCTCACCCAACCATTAATAACGCAAGCGAAGTTAGTGGCGAAACAGGTGGCGTATTAACCATTCAAGGTGATAATTTTGGTACCAACCCAAGTTTAATTAGAGTTGATATTGGCAAATTTAACTGTTTTGATATTAAAGTAACCGTTCCACACAAAGAATTGACCTGTCTCTTGAAACCACAAACCACCTATTTCTATACCCAATTAATCGATTTAGAAGTTGATAGTTTACCAGTCGATAACGATTATTACTTTACTTTCTCATTCTTAAAGGAAACTCTTTGCCCATCAGAATGTAGCGGAAATGGTTATTGCTCCGATTTTGGTTGTGTTTGTAATAAAAACTTTACAGGTATCTCATGTAATGAAACAGTTGTCGAAATTAATCCACATCCACCAATTATCGATATCCCATCAATTGAAATCGATAATGATGATAACAAAGCATTTGGTTATAATGTCTCAATTATTAGAATCGAAGAGTTAAATATCGAAGATGTTGTCATTACTTCATATAGCCTTTTAGAAGAAAAATGGTCTTTTAAAAACAATTCAGAGTTAAATAACCAATGGATATTCAACATTACACTCAATAATAAATGTTATTTAGAGGCCACATTCGAATACTTTAAATTATCACGTGAAATTACATTTGCAGCCAATACATTCGTAGTTCCAGCAGAATCATTAAAATTAACATTTATCACTAAAGATTGGCCATTTAAATCAAAATTAAATAGTTTAAGAATTGTAGTTTCAACCCAAACAATAAATTTAGGTGGTTCAAGTTGTTCAATCGATAAACCGGTAACTTCAACATTTAATCAACATCTTTGGACAACAACTAAAAATGAAGAGTCTGGTATGACTGCTAGATTTATTTCAGCTGCTGAAATTGATGAACGTCCAATCACTCCAAAGATTGAAAGTTTAGAAAGTAGTAGAACAACATCTATTGTCGGTATCTCTGTACCATATTTCAGAAACAAGTCAGTAATCGATCCAGATTTCTCAATGCTTTTAAATGTTAACAAACAAAAGACTGGTAATTGTCAAAAAGAAAATAAAGTTGATTGGAAAATTGCAACTGGTACTGCTATAGGTGCTAGTGCCGCTGTTTGTTTAATTGCTGCTGCCGGTTACGTCATCAATAGAAAGAAAAAAGAAAAAGAACTTTCTGAAATAATGAACAAAAGACAAAGATCTTAAATCAATCAAACAATTTAAATAAAGTATTTTAATATTTACTTTCAAAAACACATATTTTTAATATTACTATTTATTTTTGATATTTTATTTTTAAATGATTAATCCATGCATGATTTAAAAATAAAAAAGGGTGAAATAATTTCTAAAAAAAAAATTTTTTATAATAATTTTTTTTTTTTTTAATTTTATTTTTTTATTTTCTTTTTTTTTATTTTTTTTTTTTTCAAATCATTTAATTTAAAAATTTCATTAATGTTTATAAATATATTTTTTTTTTAATAAATAATGAAATTAAAATTTATAATAATATTGTTTTGTATTATTTTTTTAAAATCACAAGCATCAGATAAATTTATAGAAATATTTAAACCCACACAACTAGTATATCCAGACAAGAGCCATGAAAGATTATTAATCAACGAAACATCATTAAATCTTTTAAACTCATTATTAGACAAAAATCTATCAGTTCTAGGGGTTGTGGGCACATTTCATAGTGGTAAAAGTTTTTTGTTAAATCAAATTTTAGGTACAACCGATAGTTTTACAGTTGGCCCAACTGTACATCCTCAAACTTTAGGTATTTGGATGTGGGCATGTAAATTAAAAGTTCAAAATAAGGAGCATACTCTTCTTTTATTGGATACTGAAGGTTTTTACTCAAGCAATGTCTCTGAAACTTATGATGCTAAAATATTTTCAATTACAACATTACTTAGTTCCCACTTAATTTATAATTCAGTTAAAATAATTGACCAATCATCATTGGAATATCTAGAGTAAGTAATAATAATAATAATTTAAAAAAATATTTGAAAAAATAAAAAATATATTAATAATATTTTATTGTTTTTTTAAATTTAGACTCCTATCAAGAAGAACTCAATTATTTGCATTAAAATCAAAAATAAAATCTTCAGAAATCGAATCGAAAGTAATTGATGATTCAATAAATATTGATACAAAATTAGCGACTATGGAAAAGTCATCAAATTTAGAATGGTCAGATGTTTTAAAGTTTCCATCATTAACTTGGGTTGTACAAGATTTTTTTCAAGATATTGGCGAACAAACTCCTACTGAATGGCTTCATGAATTATTAAAATCACACTCTAGAGACCAACCAGATAGTATATTATCTATTTCACAAATATTTCCATCTATCCAATGCAATACACTATTTATACCAAGTGGAGATAAAGGAACTCTTAGACATTTAAATAGAGCTAAAATGGCAGATTTAAATCCAATTTATATTAGAGAACTCAATCAATTAATTGATTCATTATTTTCATCACTAAAACCTACTCTTAGCGGTCCTTCAATAGGAACATTATTAAAATTATTAGTAGATGTAGCAAATTCAAATAACTTCCCACGTGTTCCTTCTATTTGGAGTGGATTTATTAAACAACAACAGCAATCGGCTCTAGATGATAGTTTGGAGGCTTACAAAGAAAAGATTACAAGTTTTCGTACAACAAATCCCCCATTGTCTCATCAGCAATTTTTAGAGTTACAAAAGCATTCATACGACTATGCCAGCAATCTTTATAAACAACTTTTATTTGGTTTAGAAGAAGCTTACAAGCCAGGTTTAGTTAAATTAGACAAATTATTAAAAGAGAATTTCGAAACTTATCAAAAGGAAAACTCTATTCGAATTAGACAATATTGTCAAAATATTTATAATGAGCAATCAAACGATATATCCTCCCAATTTGACCAATTAAAGTTACCTATTCAAACAAAGAAATTAAATACAATTTTACAGGATGCCAAAGATTCAATTACTAAAGAATATATAGATAAAAATTATAAATACAGAGAATCAAAAGAACATTATCAATTTTTTTTAAATTCATTAGAAAAGGATATCGATAGATTAATAGTTCAAAAACAATTACAAAACAAAAATGAGATGGAAAATTTATTGACAAAATCAGGTTTGGCAATAGCAGAGCGTTATAATCAGGCAATGAGCTTGATCGAGTTCCCAACTACACTCAATGAACTATCAAAAGAGCACAACACATTATTCAAACAATTCCAAGAGAGATACAAACAAACTACAGAGTTGGCAGTTTCCGAATCTTATTATTTAGCTTATGAAGCAATGGCCGAAAAGAGGTTGCAACAAATTTATACAGAATTTTTAGAATATAATGAAAAAAAGATATTGGAAAAAGCAAAGGTCGAATCAGAATTATCTATGAATGATTTCAAAAAGAATGTAGGAAACAATATTTTTTTACCCATGGAAGAAGATTTATTAGTCAAACAAATGAACGAATTTCGTATTCATTCTTTAACTTCATTCAAAAACCGCTTACAAACCTTCAGAGATTCCAATGCCTATTCAAATGAATTAAAGCGTTTAGAATCATTTTTAGAATACCAAATAGAAACTAAAATTCAAGAAAATGTAACACAAATGAAATGGATTGTTAAAGAATCATTGGATACAGTTAGGATAATGATGGCATCGCGTGTTAATTTATTTTGGGTTAAATATTCTTTTGAAAACGAAGCAAGAAAAGAAGCAGAGAAAAGAATTAGCGGTAAAATTAAATCTAAAGCTTTAATGGATAAAGTAATAACTCAATTCATCGAAACAGATTTAAAAAAAGAATTGGATAGTTTATTTGGTTTGGTACCATTAGTTATCACAGGAATACTTTTAATAGTTTTTTCGATAATATTATCTTTGGTATTAAAAAAATAAAACATATATATTTTGTATTTTAAATAATAATAAAAAAGAAGAAAAAGAAATATATATAAACTTTTTTTATTTTTTTTTCTAAATTTATCAATATAATATTATATAAAGATTTTTAGTTTTTTATTTTAATTATTATTGTTGGGTTGATGGTGATTGTGGAAAAAATGATGATGTATTAAATGTAATTGGGAAGGTATCTAAAGTTTTAAGATTTACACAAACGATTGTGTTAGTTTCAGAGAATTTTGGAATAAAGATTAAACGTACAACTTCGTCATTTGGACCTTTTAGTAATTTGCTTTCGTAGTGATCTTGATTTCCAAAGAATAGAATGTGTGGGCATTGTTCAATAACAAAAGGATCTTGATCTAATGCGGAGCAAGTTAATGTGTCTGGTGCAGTTGGGGCCAAGTGTCTCCAAACTAGTGTATTTTCGGCGATTTTCATTTTGCTTTCAGATTTCATATAACGCGAAGCATTTTCAATATTTTGACCACTTGTTCCTAAAAGTACTCTTCCACCAACTAATGATTCATATGGATTGGTTGCAAATGTAGTATTTGTGTTTTGAATACTGAATGGGAAAAGACATGAGTTTAATGGTAGTTGAGGTAATGAAACGTTGGTTGGATCATTTGGACCTGGCATAATATCGACTGGGATCGATTGGCAGAGTTCAGAAAGATATCCATCCAACTCTTTAATGGGAAGAGCTTGTTTTGCTTGTTTTGCTTGAGTTTCTTGTCTTGAACTATATCTTACAAATGCTTCATGTGGTTCTTCTTCTTTGTGTATTGAGTTACCTACAAAAACTACTCTACTAATCTTTTTTATAAATTCATTTTGTTCGCTTTCACTACCAACACTACCTGTTAAAAATTCTTTTAATAGATTTATTTGAAAAATATTATTTGGATTACCAATACCAATACCTGAAACTAAACAAATATAAACATCATCTTTAATTTTTTCTTTAAAAAAAAAAAAGTATTAGTACTACATGATATAGTCGAGGTCATTTATTAAAATTGTTTATCTTACCCAAATCTCTTGAATGTGGTTGTGGTGGCAATCCTGGGAATAATACCTCTTGAATTTCAAATTCAGCATCAGTTAAACCTCTACCTCTAATTGCTACATTTAAACCTGTTACTAAACTATCAACCATTCCTTTTTCGCCAATCAATTTAACTCTACCTGTGTCATCTTCAAAAAATAATTTATCTTTTTCGCTTATAAAAGATTCCCTATTATCTGGTAATGGTAACATTGCTCTCTAAAATATAATGTAAAATTAATATATTATTATTACATAAAAAGAATATTTTGAATTATAATTACATCTTGTGCATATTGCTTTAAAATATTTGGCTTTAATTCCATTTCTTTGTACAATGTTCCAATCATAACGCATTCATCTCCTGGCTTCATTTGAAGAATTTTTTGTACTGGTACATTTGAAAATTTGGACTCTACTTGTTCCATTAAAACTGGACGAAGCTTTTCTAATCTACTTGAATATATTGTGTTATATTGTAAAACATTATGTTGACTTTGTGATACAAGATTTGATTGTTGTGATGATGATGATGACTGTGATGATTGCGACGATTGTGATGTATGATTCGTTGTTGTATTGGCACCGTTTAGTTTGAATTCAGACTCTAAAAATCTTTCTTTATGATAGCTATATGTTGTTTCGACTCTCTCAATTGTCTTGAATTCTTTATCCAAACCAAAATGATCTTTGATTCCTATTGATTTACTTTTGCTATTTTCTTTACCAATTTTTTCAATTCTTTTAAATAAATCTTTTAAATCTTCTTCATCTTTTGATTCTGTGTACATTTTTAAGGTTTTTATTTATTACAAATTTTCAGTGTTTTTTCAGTTTTATGTATATGTATAAATAGATTACAAGAAAAAAAATGAATAATAATTTTTTAAAATTTTGAAAATTAAAAAAAAAATTTTTAGAGGCAAAATTTTTTTTTTTTTTTTAATTTTTTTAATTTATTTATTTTATTTATTTTTTAAATATGTGTTAAAAATTCATTTAGGTGTTAAATTTAAATTTAAATTTAAACTTTATTTAAATCTATTAATATACACACTAATAATCATAATTAGGTAAATATCAAATTTAGATTTACATGTATAATTATTCTATTTTTGTACAATAGTTTTTACTTTAGTATACCCACAGTATATTCATTTTAGATCTATCTATAAACAAATTATTAATTTTTTAATTAAATGTTTATTTTGTTTATTTTGTGTTTTTTTTCTATATTGTTTATATTTCTTTTTTTTTTTTCTTTTTTTTTAAAAACGATTCTAATTATGATTTTAATTAAAAGGGAATATTATATTTTATTATACTCACTCTATAAAATTATTTTAAATAGGTTACCACAGACTCATAAAAAAAGAAAATCTTATTCCGAAACCAATCCTTTTTATCAAGATCAACAGGGCAATATAAAATATTTTTTTTATGGTAAATATTTATTAAAAAAAAAAAAAAAAAAGAAAAAAAAACAATATATTTACATAAAAATTATAGGATATGAGGTTATAGAATGGATATTAAAATCAAATATTAATACAATTACAAGAGCGAAGGCTGTTGCCATTGCACAGTCAATATTATCACTATTTATAATTACAGATCCAAAAATAAATGACTCTGAATATCTAAACAAAAATTTACCTATATCAAAGAAAAAAATGATATTTAGCGATGACAGAACTTGTTATTCACTTATAAATAATAATAACATAAGCACCTTTGAAAACTATAATAAATATTTATATGGAATGTATATGAAAATTAAATTTGTATGTCCAAACCCATATTATTGTATACAAACGGTATTTTCAATTTATCCAACAACCCAACCCCAAAATATTAATAACAATAATAACATTCAAAATATAGATAATAATAGTTATAGTTTTGAAAATGAATGTTCAATAATAACAAAACCATTATCACCACAAGTATCCCCATTATCAATAAATGAAATTTATACAGATAAAAAAAAAGAAATTAGCCCAAATGCAATAAATGAAAATCTAGATTATAATATACAAGAAGGAGTCATCGAAATGGAAAATATTAGTCAATATAGACAGCAGCAGGAATCGGATGAATCAAAATTTTCAATAATTATTGGTTATAAAGATGTTGATGAGGATGATTTTAATATATCAAACTACCGATGGACAAAATATTTTTCAGTTTTGGTTTATTTAGTGATTGTTTCAACTGCAGGTCTTGGTTTACAGTGGCATCTAATTAAAGAAGTATATAATATACCGTCAATTATCTATATAGTTATTGGTATCCTTGCAACTTTTTTATGGGTTTCAGCAACGATATTGTTCCTATATTGCTTTATTTCAAATTTCAACAATTCAATGGTAGATTTAAGAAATGGTATTTTTTCAACTATTTACAATACTGCTCCGTTATCCTTGTTCCAAGTTTCTGATATTTCAATATTTGCAAATAAAACTCTTGCAAAAGTTATTTTTTGGTCTAGTTTTGGTCTATATTCAGTCACTCTTTTATTCCTTTATACACATTTTGTGCTTCGATTTATAAGGAAGAAACCTATTTCAATAACACCAAGCTTTATTTTCTCTGGTGGCTGTTTTGTTATCGTGGCATCTGTTTCTAAACACTTGGGATATACTTCCATGGTATGGTTCTCCTATGGATTTGGTAGCATAGTTTGTATAATAATCCATGCTGTTATAATCTATCAGTATATTGCCAAAGCTAGAAAAGGATCCTTTTTACCGATAGAGTCCATTCCATCACAACCTGTTTTTATCAGCTATTCTTCTTTGTTGTGTTCAACGCTAATTTCTATTCAAGAAGGGGTTACCATTTGGGGTCGGTTAGTATATTTATTTGTATTTTTAAATATAGTGTTGGTTTTTATTGTTTGGATAGTAACAATTATCAAGGCTCCAAAACTTTATGTTCCACCATTTAATCTTGGTATGTGGGGGTTCTCTTTTCCATCAACATCATTTTCAGTTTGTGCAATATTATATTACAAATACAATACATTTTTAATTACAAAAATATTCTCTCTTTTCACCATCACAATTAATAATTTAATTTACATTGCATTACTTATTTTTACAATTGCACATATAACAAAAAAAAATTTATTCATTGTTTCGAAATTTAACAAAACCACATTTTTATCACCAAAATTTAATAAAAAACAACCCCAATAATTAAAATTTACCACACACCATTTTTTTAATTGGTTTATTATTTTTATTTATAAAGTGTTACAATCAAAATAAATTATCTTATGATTATTTACATAAATGTACAATGCTTAAATAAGTGTCAATAATTACTAATTTTAATTAATAGCTAAATAATAATTATTTTATATTGTATTATTATTCTATCTCATTACTCAAAAATAAAAAATCTTAACCCCATTTTTTAAAAACATGGTGTGATAATATTTTTTAATATAAATTTTATAATAATTTAATATTAATATTTTATAATTTTTAATATTTTATTTATAAAATAAAAATATTTTTTATTACAAACATTTATTGTAAAGTCCACATGTCTTTTTTTTTTTTTTTTAAAATACTATATATATTAATATCTGTATAAAAATCTCTTAAAATATTTTTAAAATAACCAATAAAAGAATATAACCATTTTATTTTGATAGGAAACATAATGTCTCATGGCATTATTGTAAAAAAAATTTAAAAAAAAAAAAGGTATTAAAAATTTTTTTTTATTTTTAATAATACATTATATATAATATATAATTATAATATTTTTTTAAATATAAAAATAAAAAACTAAAAAAACTAATCTCTATTTAAATTTTTTATATAATAAAATAATGAATGAAAAAGATAATAATAATAATCTAATAAACATAGAACATTATAATTTATTATTTTCTCTTTATAAAATTATTATTAAAAGATTACCCCAAACTCATAAAAAAAAGAAATTAAAAACCAAAAATAATAAATACTATTTAGATGAGCAGGGAAATGTTAAATATTTTATTTTTGGTAAATATAGTCATAATATTGTTACAATAATTTAAAAATTGACTAATAAATAATTTTATATATAGGTTACGAAATAGTAGAATGGATTTTAAAATCGAAAATAAACCCTATATCAAGACCAGATGCCATAAAAATAGCACAGTCAATGCAATATTTATTCTTATTTACTACACCAAAGCTAAATGATAACCACTATTTAAATAAAAATAAAAAGATCTCTACAAATAAAATGACATTCAAAGACGATAAAACATGCTTTTCTTTAATTAATGACGATAATATAAATAGTTATAATAGCTATAGTAGATATTTTACAGAAATGTATTTTAAATTGAAAAACCAGAGCTGGATACCAGATCAACATATTCAAACTATATTTTCAAGCTATAAATTAAATAGTAATAATAATATTAATAAAGAAAATAGATTATCAAATAGTGAAACAAGTATTTCAAATTCAGAAAACTATCATTCTTCATCATCTATTTCATCATCAACATCAACATCGTCAATGGAAAATTTATCAATTGATCCAACTCAAGATAACAACAATATTATAAATAAAGAAACTGTTGAACAAAACCCAATCGAGTTTGAATCAATACAAATAAACGATTCAAACAAAGAAATTATATTAGAAATAGATTATAAAGATGAAGAAACTTTAGATTTATCAAATTATAAATGGACCAAATATGTGCAAATTTTAATCTTCCTTATTATTATTTCAACTGCAGGTTTAGGTTCGCAGTGGCGTTTAATATATATTGTATTTAATACCCCACCTATAATTTATTTAACCATTGGGGCAATAGCTTGTGTTTTTTGGGCGACAGCTTTAATAGTACTTTCATATTCTTTTATTTCAAATCGTCAATATACAAAAAAGAACCTAAAGGGTGGTTTAAATGTAACCATATACAATATAATGTCACTTTCATTTTTTCAAATTGCAGATATAGCAAACTATGTCAATAGAACATTAGCAATTATATTATTTTGGATTGCCGCTGCAGTATTATTATGCACGATGTTATTCACATATATTCATTTTGCACTCCGTATTAAAAGAAAACATCCGATTTCATTTACTCCTTCATTCGTTTTCTCTGGCGGGGCATTGATTATTGTAGGGTCTGTAGCAAAACATATAGGATATACAACAATTGCTTGGATTACATTTGGATATGGTTCAATTTACAGTGTTATAGTTCATTTTCTAATTATTATAGAGTATTGTAAAAGAGGTCGAAAAGGTTTCTTTGTACCTTTAGAATTAATACCCACTCAGTCTATTTTCGTTGGTTATTCATCATTCATTTTTTCAACCTTGGTTACTATTCAAGAAAAGCTCACTCTTTTTTCAAGATTATTGTTTTTATATGCTATTTTAAATATTATATTCGTCATCGTTTCATGGGCAATTAGTATCAAAAAAGCACCTAGACGTTATATTCCGCCATTTAATCTAGGTATGTGGGGATTCAGTTTTCCTGCCATTTCATTTGGTGTGTGCACCATTTTCTATTATAAATATACCCCATTTTTAATAACCAAAATATTTACATATATAATAATAATAATAAGCAATTTAATTTATTTCACACTCATATCATGTACAATTTACTCTGTATCAAAGAAAAATTTATTTATCGTTTCAAAATTCAACAAATCATCATTTCTATCACCCAAATTTAATAATATAAAAAACAATAATAATAATATTAATATTAATTTAGATGAAATAAAAAATAATAAACTATAAAATTAAATTATAATAATAAAAAACTATTCAATTTAATCATTTGATTTTTTTTAAATAAAATTAATTTAAAATTACTATATAAAACTATAGTGATTTATTATTATAAAAAAAAATAATATAAAAGTCTAAAAGATTAATTGTTTAAATTGGAAATTTTTTTTTTTTTTTTTAATGTTTTTTTTTTTTTTAAATTTGATCAATTTAAAAACTATAAATTTGATGAATTTCTTTTTAATTATTTGTTAAAAAATATTATCTACTATATTAAAATACTTTTACATTTATATAATTAATATTTTAAAATGTCTTCAACACCCAATATAATTAGAACAGATCCATTAAGTAAAGATATTTGCTTTGATGCTAGATCCGAAACTACCAACAAGAGCTTTGTTTCAACTAGAGTCGCTAACTCCATGTACAACACCTATTCAGGAACTACTAGTGATTTGAGAATTACTGGTATGGTCTCAACATCATCGCAATATGATGGTCGTCTTGATAATAAAACTGATCCATCCACCTTAGGTGAAGGATTTGATTTAAATACCCTAACTGTCCCAAATATGTACAATAGAGTTGCATTTGGTTCTTTTGCTATTACTGGTGACCAGGTAATCTATTGATTCTATATTTAAATAATAAAAAACTATAATATTAATTTTTTTTTTTTTTTTTTTAAATATATATTAGGGTATCAAAAAAGATATAATTTTAAAAGCAACAAAAGAAATGTGTTATTCTAAAAATAACTTACCAGTTGTCTATGATGTTTGGGGTTCAACACAATCAGCTCGTAATGTTGGCATTGACAAACCAAAAGAAGTTACTATGCCAAGAGATTTCTCTGAAGAAAAGGTTAATGGTCTTTTAGGTGGTCTTGAGCGTTTGAAATCCAGATCAAAAGAAAGAGGCGTTGGTGATATGAGACTAACAATGACCGTTGGAGGATGGCAATTCTCTAACCCATTCCACCAAATGGTTAGAGATGAAAAAACTCGTTGCGATTTTACTGATGGTATCTTGGATGTTCTTAAGAGATTCCCAATGTTTGACGAACTAATTGTCGATTGGGAATACCCAGGCTCCTGTGATCCACAACAAGGTAACCAATTCTCTGAAGATGATACCAAATTCTATTCATTTCTCCTTAAAGAAACAAGAGAAAAGATGGACAAATGCGACCTCGGTAGAATTGAATTAAATATTACTCTTCCAGGCACTGTTGACCAATTAAAGAGAATTGATGTTCGTAAGATCACTGAATCTGGCGTCAGAAATATCTACCTTTTAACCAATAACTACTTTGGCGATTGGAAAGAAAGAGAATTGGACCACATTTCATCAATAAACCATATCAAGCCTGCTGTTGAACATTTACTCTCTCTTGGTGTTAATAGCAAATGTATCCACATTGAATATAGCACACATTCAAGAAACGTCACCAATGCTAAAATTGAAAGCCCATGCCCATTAAAAGGTACTTTTGAAAAAACTGATAAGATGATTGTTGGTACATTTGAATCTGGTGTTAGCTCTTTTAATGACATCTTGGTCAACTACTTGGACATTACCTCTGGCAAAGGTAAAAATGGTTTCCAACTCTACACTGATACCCGTTGTGACGCTGATTTCCTCTACAATCACCAATCTAAAGTTTTCATTTCATTAGATACACCAAGAACTGTTAGAGCTAAAGGTGACTACGTTCGTGAAAAGAAATTAGGTGGTCTATTTAATCTTAGTATCAGCTATGATGCCTCTGGTCTCTTGTTGAATGCTGCATGTGAAGGTCTCGGATTAAAAGTTGAAAAACAAACCATTGATATGTCCAAACTCTACTACAAAGGCTTAACCCAGTCCATTACTACACCACAACAATAATCATTTAATGAACATTTTATAATCTATAAATTAGAATTTATTATTTTAAATTTTTAATAGATTAATATCAATAAAGGTTATTATTTTTAAATTAGTTTAAATTTTATATAAAAAACAAAAAAAAAAAAAACTAAAATTTTTATTTTAAATACCTTTTTTTAATTTTTTATTTTAGCATTCTATTACTATAATTAATTTTGTTTGGTTGTCCACAAATTAATTTTAAAAAAAAATTAAAAAAAAAAATTTTAATGATTTTATTTTTTTTTTTAATTTTTTTATTTTGGAAAAAAAAATTTTAATATAATTTTAATCAATATTTTATTTATATAAATAATATAAATGAATAATATTAATAATATAAATAATAATAATAATAATAATAATAATAATATAAATAATAATAATATTAATAATAGTAATAATTTATTTTTAAAAGTTTTTCATAATATCTATATAAAAAATATTATTATAGGCTACCTTAGATTATATAATTTAAACTATAATCAAATTAAATTTTATGATCTAGCTTCATTAAAAAATTATAAATACAAATACTATTTAAATTCAATCTACCTAATTTTAGATATAAATGATCCACTATTAAATGAAATAAACGATATAATTCCATATAGTAGTATAACAAAGATCGAAATAGAATGTGTAAGAAGTGAATCATCATATTATTTACCGTCAACAAAAGAAGGCTCAGAAAGCGATTCTTATTTTCAACAATTTTCAAAAACAATTGATGGTAATAATAATAGTTTTTTAAATAGTAATAAATTTATATCACTAGAATCAATTATAATTCATATGTCACCATATATTAATAACCTAATAAAGTATATTCAGTTTTTACCAAATACATTAAAAACTTTAAAGATCAAACATAGCTGTTATATGTTTATAAATAAAAAGAATCAATTAATTATACCAAATGATTTTTTCCCAACACCACTGGAAAATTCACCAGTTACAACACTAGAACTACCAATATCAAACTACAGCCCATTTAAAACTCCAAATTTAGTAAACCTATCAATATTCTTTCAAGGTAATATTCCAATTGCGTCCCAAGTACCAAACAGCGTAAAAAATTTAAAAATTCAAAACTACAATAACCAGCTACAACCAAATGACCTACCTAAAGAACTTACGGCACTGGATATGTGTGACTCTTTTAACCAACCTATAAGACCTTCGATTTTACCAATATCCCTAACCAGTCTCACGTTAAACTCTAATTTTAATCAGCCCGTTTCAAATGGCTGGCTAAAGTCATTAAAAAACCTGACCTATTTAAAATTTGGCTATAGTTTTAATCAGAGTATCCCAAATGATGCACTATCTATAAATTTAAAGACTCTAATATTCGGCTCAAGTTTTAGAAAACCCATAGGTGGTATAAATTTACCTAACAATTTACAAGAGCTCTCTTTACCGGAATATTACTCATTAAATAATCTAACTTTGTTTCCACCAAATTTACAAACTTTTAAATATGGATCAGGTTTATTTTATGACTCATCAGTATATTTAGGATCATCTGACCTCCCATGTGGCCTAACCCATTTAAATTGTAACGAGTACTCAAACTATAAAAAACTACCAGCAAGTCTAAAAACCATAACCTTTAACTGTGGGACTACAAGCTCGTTAACTACTGTGTATGATGACACGTTTTCACCGATTATCCCTCCATCTGTAGAAACAATTCATTTTATAAATCTAAGAAAACTATTTAACAATTTGTTTTTTAGAGGCTCCATATCAAGCAAGCTAACATCAATCTATTTCGATGACTCTTTTAATCTACCAATAAACGATAATATTTTACCAGAATCACTTACATTTATAAAGTTTGGGAAAATATTTAATCATCCAATCACCGATCGAACCTTCCCAAGTACTCTTAAAACTCTTCAGTTTGGGCACTATTATAATCAAACTCTAAACCGATTCAACTTACCATTGTCTCTAACATCACTTCACATCGACTTCCACTTTGGCCAAAATATAACACTAAACAACACCATACTACCAGAAAATTTGCAATCATTAAGTATTGGTGACTATACAATAGCAATAGACTTTAATAATCTCCCATCTTCTTTAACCAATCTATTTGTATATGGAACAAATTCAAAGTTTTTAAATAATTTAAATTTAATTAACGAAAATAATTTAAAACTTGTAAAAATTATAAATCATAATAAACAATAATTATAGTGTAAATAGAAATACTGTATAAAGTATTTTATTTTATTTTATTTTATTTTGCTTTATTTTATTTTATACATTCTTTAAATGGATAACTGTTATATTAATATTTAATCTTTAGATTTCTTTTTTATTTTTTTTTATTTGTTGTTTTTAGTTTTTCTAACAATCGCCATAACATGCTTTTTCTGCTTCAAAACACTTGACTCCTAAATAACCTGGACAGTTTTGAAATGTTTTATCACATTTTTCGATACAATTTGTTGTGAATGGGCTAAAATTACATTGTGATAGACAACTTCTTTCTTCGGCTCTACATTTTCCACCGGGATGAACTGCATCTAAACATTTTTCATATTTTCCAAAACAATCGAGCGCACAACCGTTTGATTTAACTAAACCAAATAAACTGCAATATAAAATAGTAAAAACCAATAATTTTAATATTACTATTTTCATTTTTTTTTTTTTTTATCTGTTTTAAATTATTATATTTATAATATTAATATTAAATTATATTTTTATATTTGTGTGAGTAATAAATAAAATATGAAATTTTTATGATTTTATACATACACTGACACCCAGGTATTGATTTTTTTTTTATTAATAATTAAAATAAAAAAAAAAATTAATTTAAATTTAAAAAAAAAAAATTAAAAAAAAATTAAATTAAATTTTAAAAAAAAATAATTAAAGAAGGATTAATTAACAATAAATATTTTTAATTAAAGAAACGACAAAAAAACTATCGACCACCAAAACAATGGGTTTTTATTTAAAAAAATAATAAAAAGATAGTTTTTTTTTAAAATGAATTTTATTTTTAAAATTATTACCTGTTATTATTTATTTTTATTTTAATATTATAAATTTTAATTATCCCAATCATCCCAATCAGAGATTTTCTTTGATTGAGGTTTAGTTGGTGTTGAAGTTGAAATATTTTTATTTGTATTTTTTGGTTTTTTTGGTGAATCATCTTTCCAAACCCAAGACTCCTCTTCCTCTTCTTCTTCTTTTTCATCTTCACTTGGTTGTTTCTTTGGTTGTGGTGGTTGTTTCTTTGGTATTGGTTTTTCTTCTTCCTCTTCTTCATTATCACTATCGAATCTATTATTATTATTATTTTTAAATGATTTACTATTATTATTATTATTATTATTATTTTTTGATTTATTATTTTTTGATGGAGGTGGAGTTCTTTCTTCCTCTTCTTCCTCTTCATCTTCATCAACTTGCCATCCAACAAATTCTTCTTCAGATTGCTTTTTATTTGATTTATTGGATGAACTTGAGTTTGTTGAATTTGATAAACCACTATTATTTAAATTATTATTTGGTTTTGAATTAAATGGACTATTTTTATACCCATTTGAATTGACGCCAGTATATTGATCATAGATTGAATTCTTATCAATGCCACCGTCATTACCATTATAACCACCACCATTATATGAATTACCATTATAACTTGGTCCCTCGTTACCATCAATAACATCTTTTGCTTTTTGAATATATGTTGAAACCATTGATTGGGCTTCGGTTAATAAAGTGCCATCTTGAACCTTTGATGAAACTACTGAAGCAACAGTGCTCAATCTAGAAAAACCTTCATTTAATAATGAAAAGCCATAATCTAATGTTGATCCGGAACTATTGTAATAACCGCTACTACCGCTACCTCTGTTATAACTATTATAACCACCGCCACCACTACCACTACTATTATAACCTCCATCTGAATCACCATAATATTGGTCACTTGAAATCGATTTAGCACCGCTAAATTTGCTATAATCTTTTTGAACATTACTACTGCTACTACTGCTATTATCTCTATTATAGCTATCGCTTGAAATTGATTTTACATTTCTACCATAATCTTTTGTTCCACTGTTACTGCTACTGTTACTACTATTACTACTATTGTAACTATTATAACTGCTGCTATTATTACTACTGTTATAACCAATGCCCCCACTATTATAACCACCACCACCACCATAACTACTATTGCTATTGCTGCTGCTACTATAACTATTGCTACTGCTATAAGCAGTTTTTGATTTTGGTGCCGGTGAGTTATAGCTATTGTTATCTTCTCTATCCCAGTCGCCACCACCACTTGAAATTGATTTTACAGATTTATTATAGGTTGGTTTGGATGAAGAAGGTGATGATTTATTTACTGATTGAAGTGGTGGTGAAGTATTTTCCCAATCATCATCAAAGATACCTTTATTCTTTTTTGGTGCTGAATATGATGAAGCAGTTGAAGTGGTGTTTGGTGAAACCTTAGCAGCTCTTGCCTCTGGCTCTTTCCAAGCCCTTGACTCTGATAATGCACTAAGTTTATCTTTGTATAAACGAGCACCCTCTGTATTATATTTTCCCTTAATGTTGGCATCATCTGGAATACCATGTTTCTTGAAGAATTCTTTAGCTTTAGAATTACCACCTTGAATCATTTTTTCTAATTGTACATCTGACCATTGATCCATAGTTAAACTTCTAACAAAACTATATAAAAAAAAAAATAAAAATGAAAAATAAAAATATTAATATATTTATTAAAATAAAATTTTTTAAACTTTTTATAAATAAAAATAATTATTATTATTATTTACCTTAAATGAACACCTAAACTTCTATGAACACCTGAGCATTCTAGACAAATGTAAATACCATATGAAACTGATGCCCATTGTGGATTGGCTGATCTGCATTCAAAACAAATTTTATTGGTTGTATCCTCTTCTTTTAATCTCTTGAAAATTTCTTTTGCTCTTGCAATATTTGCTTCTCTGTCTGCTGACATTTTTTTATTAAATTTATTTTTTTTTATTTATTTAAAACGAAATTTTATGTGATTTAATATGTTTTTTTTTTAAAATAAATAAATAAATATTATTTTGGTGATTTTTTTATTATGAAAAATAAAAGGAAATATTATTATTTAATCCTTATTATTTTTATTTATTATTCGTTTTTTATATAATAATAAAACTATATAATTTTTTAAAAAAAAAAAAAAAAAATAGTTTATTTTTGTTAACCTATATAATTTAAATTTTACTTTTCCTCAAATTTTTAAAAAAAAAAAAAAAAAAAAATTTTAAAAAAATAAATAAATAAAAATCAAAAAAAAAAAAATTTTAAAAAAAAAATTAAAATAATTTTTAAAAAAATAAAATAAAAAGGAATTTTATTTACCTCTTTTTAAAGAATTATTTTATTTCTTCATCAGAATAACAATAAATAAAATAAATCTTAGATTTATAAATAAATAAGAAATATTTTTTTGATTAAAAAAATAAAAATAAAAAAAAAATAAAAATAAAAAACTATTTTTAGAAAAAAAAAAAAAAAAAGATAAAAAGACAAGGTGAATTTGTTTTTTAATAAATAATTTTTATTTTATTTTATTTTTTTTTTTTTTTTTTTTTTTTTTCTTTTTTCTTTTTTCTTTTTACTATTATTATTTATAAAGTAATCAAAGATAGTATATATTATTGTTTATATTCCCTTATGAGAGTGGGTAGTAAATTTTAGATTCACCGTAATCTAAATAAACAGTGAATTGACCACCGGATACTTTGATACAATCTTGAGTTGGCCAGAAAATGTTACATAAGGTAGTTCCTTCATCATATGGATGGTAGGTGATAACACGTGAGGTTTGAACTTGAACTGAACCGCCATTGGTAAGAGCAATAAAAGCATTGCCACGAGTGAAAGCATAGAAACCATTATCAGCATAACGTTGGATTTGTTCAGCAGATTTAACTTCATCATTTTGAGTACGGAATTCATTGATGGTTTGGATGAATTTGTATAAAACTGAATTTTGATTGAATTGAGTGGTCCAAAGTGGTTCACGATTGTTTGGATCGGCTGAACCATCGAAACCTTGTTCAGTACCATAGTAGATGATTGGGATACCTTGAGCCATTAAGACGTAGGTGATAGCATTTTTGTAGAGTTCAACATCGACTTGTTCATTTAAGAAACGAACTTGATCGTGGTTATCAATAAAGGTACCTAAATAAGAGATGTTTTTGAAGAGTTGTTGGTATTGTTGGAAGGTAGCTTGAATTTGGGTCATTGATTGTTTTGAAGCAAAGACATTACGAAGAGTAAAGAACATTGGGTATGAAAGAACACCGTCAACTGGACCTTGATATTCAGCAACGTAGGTTAAGTTACCGTTATAAACTTCACCAACAGCGTAAACACCAGCAGCTTGATTGTATTCGGTCCAGAATTCAGCTTTAACTTCTGGAACAGTATCGATACGAATACCATCGAAACCATAGAATGAAGTTACGTTTTTAATCCAGTTTAATAAGGTACTACGAACAAAAGCATTGTCTTGATCTAAATCTGGTAAACCTGAAAGACGACAGACTTCGACTTGAGTGTAATCATCAAAGTTATTAATGGTGCAGTCTTCTGGGCAAGTGGTGCAGTTGTGATAGTGAGCTGGAGAGTCAAATGGTACAATAGTATTATATTCATAGTTAACTGGACCAACGTGATTACCAACAACATCTAACATAACCCAAATACCACGACTGTGACAAGCTTTAATTAATGCTAATAAATCTTCTTCTGAGCCAAAATATTCATTGATGGTGTAAATATTTTCTTGCCAATAACCGTGGTAGCCACCCTATAAAAAAAAAAATGAATTAATACAAACAGAATTTTGCGAGGAAAAATATCTTTTTTTTTTCTAGACAGTTTTTAAAAATTCAATTTTTTTTGACACCAAAAGGTTTTTTTTTTTATTTTTTATAAAAATAATAACTTACTGGAGTATTGGTAACAACTGGTGAAATCCAGATGGCATCGAAGCCCATACCCAAGATATAATCTAAATGATTTTCAATACCTTGGAATGTACCACCGCAATAACTTTGAAGGTTTGAACATGGTTGTGAACTATTGACAGTTTGACTGAATCTATCAGTTAATAACTGATAAATAGTTCTAGTACTCCATTCATCTGGTGTTCCTGCAAATACACAATTAATTGCAATAAAAGCAATTAAAAATACTTTAACAAATTTGTTATACATCATGATATTTTTTTTTAAAAAAATTTTAAAAAAAAAAATATTTGTTTTTATTAAAATTACAACACACAAACACAAACACACACAAAAATACAATTAAACCTTTAAATATAAATTATATATTTGTAGATATGTGTATATTATTAATTTATTTAATCACCAAAAAAAATAAGTGAAAAAAAAAAAAAATAAATATGTAAATATTTAGAGAAAAAAAAAAAAAAAATTAAAAAAAAAAAATTTAAAAAAAATAAAATTTAAAAAAAATAAAATTTCTTCACGGCTGGTTGAAAAAAACTAAATTTTGAAAAGAAAAACTAAAAGGTTTCATTTTTAAATGATTGTTTTTAAATAAAAAAAAAAAAAAATATCTTGCATAGGATTTAACAATCCCGAAAAAAATTTTATTTAAAAAATTTGGTTTTTAAAAAAAAAAAAAGTAAAAAGAATTATCAATTTTAAATTTTCCCATTGTACGAAATATATAAAATTTAAAAATTTAATTTACCCCAACTATCATTTTGGATAATATGAGACGAAAAATTTTATTTTAATTGAAAATTAATATTATTAATATTTATTTATTTTTTATTTATTTTTTATTTATTTTTTAAAATTAGATTTAAAATTTTTTAATAATTATTATGATTTGTGTAAGGTGCTCTTTCTAATATTGAGGAGTTCACATGAATATCTATAAAAATATGGTTGAAAAAATCGGTATTTCTTTAGGAATGGAATGTTTGATTAAAATATAAATTGGATATTAAAAAATAATTTTTTGTTATGGTGATGCTTTTTTAATTTTAAAGGTTTAGTTTTAATATTTTTATGGTTTTATTAACGATTTATTTTTCTTTTTTGAAGCCAAGAGGTATGATTGGAGGTGCTTTGGTAGATTGATCTGAGCTTCACTGTTAGTTGTATCAACTTAAACTGGTTGCGATGATGTATCTACATTGGTCATTGGTTCTAAAAAGTTGTTCTGAGGGTTTGAATGACCTTAAGTTCTTGATCTATACTGATATGCTACATTTCATTGTGGTTATATTTTTTGTGTTTATTAATTTCGTTTGTGACATATTTAGTCAAAAAATTTGTTGCCAAATTTCCTACAATTGGTTATTTAATATTTTTTAGTATTTGATGTGTATGTGGTATTAGAAATTTATATAAGTAAGTTTAAATTGGTAAATAAAAAATATTTTAAATTAAGATTTGAATTGTTAAAAAATTTTAATTTATTAAGAATATAAACTATATTTATAAAGAATAATAAAACTATTATTAATAATAGTTTTATATAAGGTTTTTATTATTTTTTAATTTAACAGCATTGTTGCTGTTGTTACTATTATTGTTGTTTTGATGTTGAGTTGATGTTGAGTTGATGTTGATATTGATTTTTTGCACTTATTTTGATGTGGTATATGAAAACTAATTGTATTAGTTGTCTTTTCCATATTCTTTTTTAGAATCATCTTATACCACATCAAAATAAGTGCAAAAAATCAAAATCAATATCAACATCAAAGCAACAATAATAACAAAATAACTGGGCCATCCAAAATATACAATAATTTTCTAAAATCTTTCAACAATTTTCCTTTTCCAATAGTTATTTATCCGATTGCATTTGGCTTTTACTGTGTGACAATTCCAATTGCTTCAGCTGTTTTTTATCCCTAAACATACTGGTGTTTAATCTATGAGCTTCCATTATGATGAAATTCTTTATTAAGTGGTTTTTTGATATTGTTTTCCTAAATAAAGAAAATAAATTAAAAATTAAAACTTACCTAAAAAAAAAAAAAAAAAATTAATTTTTAATATTAAAAATATTTTAATATTTTTAAAAAAAAAAAAACCAAATTTTTTAATTAAATTAGAAAAAAAAAAAAAAAAAAAATTAAAAATTGAATTTGTTTGTCATATTAAAAAATTCCTTTTGATAGTAGAATAATTTATTTAGATTTATAGGTTAGTGTATTATTCTTTAAATAAAGACTTAATTTGATTTTTAAATTTATAAACACTTTTATTGTCTGTAGAGATATAATTATTAATTCTATTAATGATCCAAGTTTATTTTATTTGAAATTGGCACTTTGTATTATAAAATATTAAAAAAAAAAAAATTTCGAAAAAAAGTTTTATTTTTATTTTTAATTTATTAGTTTTTTGTTTTTTTTATTTTATTTTTTATTTTTTTATTCTTTTAACAGTTCAAAGAAGTGTCAGATTACCTTAAACACAGAATTTTTTTTTTTAAAATTAATTTTTTATTTTTTTTATTTTTTTTTTTAAAATTAATTTTTTTTTTTTTGTGTTAAATTTTCATTTTTTTTTTTAATATTTTATTTGTTATAATAAACACAATAAAGATGGATTCAAAGTTAATTAATTTCATTAAAGTCGATGGAGACAAGTTTGAAGATAAATCAATTGAATTTATTAAAGGTATAATTAAAGAATCAATTAATAGTAGAAATATTGCAGTCGTTGGTTTATCAGGAGGATCAACACCAAAACCAATTTATGAAAAATTAGGAAATGCAGATGAAAGTATTCAATGGGAAAAAGTTTTTTTCTTTTCAGTTGATGAAAGATATATTGAAAAAGCAAGTAAAGATTCAATTTATGATTTAATTAGTAAATCAATTTTCTCAAATCGTAAGCAATTATTAGACAGTAATTTCGTTACACCAGATACATCACTTCCATTAAAAGATTGTATTGCAAAATATGAACAAGATTTAAAGAGTTTAATTTCAAAGAGTGGTAATGCACCAGATTTAGTCACTTTAGGTATGGGCGAAGATGGTCACATTGCTTCCATTTTCCCAAATGCCTCAATCTCACCAGTAGACCATAAAGAATTAGTCTATCACACCACCACTGAACGTTTTGCCATTTTTGATCGTATAACTACAAATATCAATTTCCTTTCATCTGCAAGAAATAAAGTATTCTTTATGTCTGGTGCAAACAAAAAAGTTGTTTGGGATGAAATGTTTGGTTCTCAAGAAAATATCAATAGATGGCCAGCTCACTTAATCATTAAATCTGGTAATACAAATGTAATTTATAGAGATTAAAATAATAAATAAATAAATAAATAAATGAATAAATAAAAAAATAAATAAAAAAAATAAATAAATTGTCAGTTTTTTTTTATTTTTTTTAAAATTATTAAATTTTTTATTTTGTTTATATTTATTAAAGTTTCTTTAAGAAATCGTTTAACGAATTACCAGAATTTCTGGAATTAAATTAAACGAAAACATTATTATTTAATTTTTTTCTTTTTTTTCTGAAATATTTTATAATAATTTTTATTTTTTAATTTTTTTTTTTTTTAATTTTTTTTTTTTCTTTTTTAATTTATTTTTTAATAATCACCCAACACAAAAAATATTCTTATATAAATTAAACTTAATTTTAATATATTAAATAAAATTAAATAAATTAAACTATAAATTACATAAATAAAATAAAATTTTAAGAAAATAAAAATGGGTAGAAGTAGAAGAGGCAGTATTACTAATAGTCAATCAGATATTTCCAGTTCAGAATCTGACAATGAAGTATTAAAAAGACATATGAAATTGGACGAGGCAATTTTATATTGTGAAGGATGCTCATTGAAAACAGGTGCAATGAAAAATTTTAAATTACGTTATAATACATTTGGTTTAACAAATAGTGCAATTTGTTTCTATGGTTCATTTTCATTAAAAAAGAAAAGAAAGATTATACCATTTAAATCAATTTCAGATGTAGAGTGGTTGGAAGATGATAGCGTCAAATTAGTAGTTCCACGTGAAAATAGAGATAAACCAAAAAATTATCATATCCATTTTAAAAAATCACATGGTGGTTCACCATATAGATTAATAGAGTCAAGATGGCAAGCTTCGAAATTAGATGTAAATTATTAAATTATTATATATATGATACCATTTTATAAAATTTATTAATTAATAATTATTTTTATTTATTTTAGCCATTAAGCAGACTATCCAGCGGAGAAGAGTTATACAGAAATCCAACAAATCAAAATTTATTAAAGCATTTCCAAAATATACCAAGAGATGAGAGAATTGAACATCAATACAGATGTCGTATTAAAGGATCAATAACTCAAAATTATGGTATTTTATTTACAACTCAAACACGTATTTTATTTATGTCTATTGACACAACTTTTAAATGCGAAGAAATTAAATATGAAAATGTTATTGAAATTAGTGAATCTTTACCAACAAAAGGAAAACTAAAAAAATCAATTCTCATTAAAATTGGCAAAGATAGAACATATGCATTCTCTTCATTTGAAAATAAAGAGGAAGTTTTAGTTCAATTGGCTCAATCCTGGGGAAATTATAAAAATAATAAAAAATCAGTTACAGTTTCAACTTCTTCAGTTCAAAATAGTAATAATAATAACAATAATAATAATAATACCAATAACAATAATGCTGTTAATACAACTCCAACAGCATCAAATACCTATAAAATGGAGCAACCAAATTTACCAACTAATTCTAAAAATTCAACATGGACTCAAGTTTCAGCACCAAAAAATAACAATAGTTTGGCTCCACAACCATCACCATCTCCATCACCATCATCATCTGCCCCCTCTTCACCAAGACCTTCTAGTAATGCATCAAAAACAACAACACCACAATCAACAACCACTAATAATAATAACAACAATACTGCTTCAATACCCAAACCACCCTCAACACCTTTATTAAATGAAAAAAGTAATGTTAAATATGGTGATAGAGTAGATAAAGTTTTTCCAAAAGAAACAAGTACAGAGTTAAGACAACAAGAGGAAATTAAGGCAAAAGGAAAACAAGTTAAAAATAGAGGTTGCTGTTCATTATTTTTTTAAAAAGTAACAATAAATAGTATTTTATTTTCTGTAAAAAAAAGGATATTTTTTTTTATTTTTTTTTATGATGTTCACTCATTGGTGTTTAATAAATCAACCCTTTTTTAATTTCTTTTTTTTTAATTTTTAAAAAAATAAATTAATTTTTTTTTTTTTTTTTCAATTTTTTTTAATTTTTATAAAAAAATTTTTTATTTTTTTTATTATTATTATTTTAATTTAAAACAAGCAAAAATGTTCAGAGGTGTAATTTCACAAACCAATAAATCAATTCTCATTAGAAGTTTCTGTACCGGTGGTCCAGCAAAATCAACCGCTGCCCCAACTGGCAACGTTTTACGTCTTGGTGATGTTTGTCCAGGTAATATATTATTTGGTTAGTTTTATTTTTTATCTTTTTAGAAATTATTAACTTTTTTTTTTTAATAAAATAGATTTCACTCAAGATACCCAAAGTGGCAAGGTTAACTTTTATAAGCATTCAGGTGATAACTGGAGTATTCTTTTCAGGTATTTATAAATTTAAATCAAAATTAATTATCTATTAATATTAATTATTTTTTTTATAGTCATCCAGCTGTAGGTTTTTAATATGATCATAATCAAACTTAATTTTTACTAACCTTTATTTTTTTTTTTTTATTATTTTACAAAATAAATTTATTTTCATAGGATTGTAAGTAAATTATTATTTTATTAAATTTTTATTATTTTATATTAATTGAATGAAATTTAAAATTTTTTTTTTTTTTTTGTATTTAATAGACACCCCAGTTTGCACCACTGTAAGTTTTTTATTTATATTATTTTTGCAATAATTCCAAAATTATTAATAATTTTTTTTTATATTATTTTAGGAATTGTAAATATTTACTATAGGTATTTTAATTATTATTAGAGAATCGATACTAACTTTTTTTCATTTTTTCATTTTTTCATTTTTTATAATTTATTCAAATATAGAGGTCGTGTGTAAGTGTAAAATAAACCAAACATATAATATAGAAATAAATTTTAATTTTAATTTTTTATTTAATACAGTGCCAAATTATTACCAGAATTCGAAAAAAGAAAATGTAAAGTTTTAGCCCTTAGTGTTGATTCAGCTAAAGATCACTCAAATTGGATTTCTGATATTAATGAAACCCAAAAATGTGATGTTACTTACCCAATTATTGCTGATCAAGATAGAAAAGTTGCAAACTTATATGGTATGGTTCATCCAAATACTGATAGCACTTTTACTGTTCGTTCAGTTTATTTCATTGCTCCAGATAAGAAATTAAGAGCTCAAATTACCCTTCCACCATCAACTGGTCGTAATTTTGGTATGTATAAATATAAATATAAATAAATAAATATAATAATAATAATAATAATAATAATAATAATAATAATAATAATAATAATTTACAATTTCATAAATAAATCTAATTTTTATTTAAAGATGAAATCCTTAGAATTTTAGATTCATTACAATTGGCTGATAAATTTAAGATTGCCACTCCAGTAGATTGGGTTGATGGTCAAGATGTTATTATTCCACCAACTGTATCAGATGAAGCTGCCAAACAAATGTTCCCAAAGGGTTTCAAAAAGATTAAACCATATCTCAGAACCACCCCACAACCAAATAAATAAAATGTCTTTAATGATGCTTAATTTTAAAAATAATATTTGATAATAAAAAAACATTTGTTTTAAATTATTAAATAAATATTATAATATAAAGCAATTTACCAATTTTTACAAAAAAAATAAAAAATAAAATAACTTTTTTTATTTAAAAAATTTTCGGCGCCAAAAACGAGCAACTGGACTAAAATTTTTAATTTGGCTATGTAGTGTAGCGGTTATCACATTTCTCTCGTAAAGAAGGGGTCGAGGGTTCAAATCCCTCTGTAGCCATATAATATTTATAAAGATAATCTTCCCGGTGATTTAAAGCATTTTTAATATTTCGGTGAATTATTGTAAAACAAATAGATTACAGCTTTCAAAATCAAGGGCCTGAAAAATATAGAACATTGGGTTAATAATTTTTCAATAAGTTAGGATATGGGCACAAAATTATTTAAAAATATACAATTCTAAAAATTCCACCTTACAAACTACCAATGTTCACATAACATCAAACCAATTATTCCCAACAAACACACTTCTCACCTCTTTGAAATTTTAATTGATATATATTATCTATAACATTTATATTTATAATTTATTAAGAATTATTCTAGATTATTACTAACCACCTCCAACCACTTTTTTTTTTTTTATATGCAAAAAAATAAAAAATTACATATAAAAAAAAAAAAAGTGGTTCGAGGTGAACAAATTACAAATGTTTCAAAATGAGATAGCTTCTGACTTTCAAATACAATAAAATTTCCCATAGAATTTAATTATCATATTATATTAATTCATAATTAATTATAATTTTTAATTGGTTTAAATTTAATTTTTGGATATCCATAAGATTGTGTGTAAAATTTTTTTTTTTTTTTTTATTAATTTTTTTTAATTTTTTTATTTCTTTTTTCTTTTATATTTAAAATGAATAAAGTTGCTGTTTTCGAAAAACAAAATGAAAGCTTAACTATAAAAACAATACCAATACCAGAACCTGGTGAAGGAATGATTAGAGTCAAAGTAATAGCTTGTGGAGTTTGTGCAGGAGATGAATTAGCAAAGAACAATGGATTTGGAAATATTTTATACCCTATCATTCCAGGTCATGAATGTATAGGAGTAGTTGATAAACTAGGTATTAATATTAAAAATGATTTTTCCCAAAAAGAAATGGTTGGTATTGGGTGGTATGGGGGATTTTCATGTAATAATTGTTTTGATTGTTTTGATGATTTTCCCAATCTTTGTAAAAATAAAAAAATTACAGGGCTCGAGATAAATGGTGGTTATGCTGAGTATATAATTTGTGACGAGAATGCACTCGTAAAAATCCCAAGTGGAATGGATCCTATAAAAACAGCACCCCTTTTGTGTGCGGGTGTTACAGTGTACAACTCTTTAAAAAGTTTAAATTTAAAAAAAGGTGCAATCATTGGAATACAAGGAATAGGTGGATTAGGTCATTTAGGTAATAATTAAAATGTATATTATTATTTAATTGTGTACAATTTTATTAAAAAAAAATTATTTAAATTTTAATAGGTATTCAGTATGGGAAAAAAATGGGATATAAAATTATTGCAATATCAAGAGGTGAAAATAAAAAAGAAATATCTTTTCAATTGGGGGCTGATTATTATATTGATTCTTTAAAAAATGGTTATATACAAGATATAAAAAAAATAGGTAGAGTGGAGTGTATAATGATAACATCGCCATCAAGTGATTCAATACAACCAATGTTAGAATCTATATGTAACAATGGTAAATTATTATTATTATCCATATTAGATAGAGATATTATTGCCAATTCAGTAACAATAGTTAATGAAAATAAATCTATTGTTGGGTGGACAACAGGTGAACCCAAATCTATATTGGAATCTTTAGAATTTGCAAAAAACAATCATATCTATCCAATTGTAAACGAATTTACATTAGATAATGCAAAGTTGGCTCAGGAAACAATTAATAAAGCTAATTTTAGAAATGTTATTAAAATAAATGAATTCAAATAAATTAAATATAGTAAAAAAAGTAAAA